AAACATGTTTGCAAAGGCATCGCCGATATCAGTAGGGCAACCGCCTTCCGGACCTCCCCAGGGGTTGTAAGATCCGCCTTGAAACTCGGGGAGAAAGTTGGGCTGCGTGGGAGACTGGACGGTAAAGTAATCGTAGTAGTTTTGAACCTTATAGGGAACATACTGGCCATTTGTGCCAGTACATTCGCTGATATTGCAGCTCCAGCAAGACGGGTAGCTGTCCACTCCAACCACATCAACATTTCCAGTCTCATTGGAAAAGTCTTTGGACCAGGAGTAGCCATTCATGTTGGGAGCATTGTGCGCAAGGGGTACGTCAATGCCGTTGTCCCGTGCACTATCCTGTAGGAGTTGCATATAATTGGCAATGGTAGGGTTCAGAACACGGTTCGGGATGTCCTTCCATTGGCCGTTCAGTTCATTCTCGATCTGGAATATGATGACATTTCCGCCGTTGGTTATAAGGTGTGGCTCAATGATTTTGGAAATTTCTTGCCAGTATGAGGTCCATGCTTTGGTATAGCGGTCATCATCGTTACGCAGCGAGCCGTACTCTCCGGTGGTAAGCCAAAGTGGGAAACCGCCAGCATTCGTCTCCGCGTTGACATAGGGCCCTGGGCGAATGATGATATACATTCCAAGCTCTTTGGCCAACGTCATAATGGACGTAAAGTTGTGCCCGCCGCTTGTGAAGTCCAGAGCATCGGGAGAGGCACTGTGATAACCCCACGAGTTGTAAATGGAGAAGGCATTGAAGCTTGAGCCGGTTAGCTAAGGGAAATAGAACTGGCAAGCGTTAACCTACCCAGCGGCTTTTATTTTCTCAAGAAGATCTCGCCATAACTCTGGCCTGGCGCACGAGTTGTGTTAGTCAGAAATACAAGAGCAAAGCACATCCGGTTTGGTGTCGTCTGGATACTTACACCGGAAATCTCCAAGGATGAAACTGTTCCAGTTAGTATCCCATGTTCCCAAGCCAAAGGGGGCAATGCAACTTACCTCTCCCGAGAAAATGAATAGCCTCTGGCCATTGACATGGTAGCTGTAGTGATCCCTTGGAATAGATGTTAGAAACGTTCCTTTGCCGCCCAGGCCTTCCAGGTATCTCACCATTGAACCACTTTATTCAGCCCGTTGTCGTGGAGTGGCCAAGAGCTGACACTCTCTTCCCTTGACTCTTGTGTTAAACCCACAGAGACAATGGATGCCCACGCAAGTAGATCACGAACAGCCGAGAACTTCATCTTGGCAAGAAGCGAGACGAGATTGAGCTATTGGCGGGAGCATCCTGCCAAAGGGGAATCCGGATCGAGCAGCCATATTTATGGAACGCTGCCAGACCGCCCATTGCTCTGAAGACCCGAGAGACCGGGCTTCAGATTGCAATGGCCTCAACATAAGGTTGACAGACCTTCCATAAGCCACCCAGTAGGAATCGAGGGAAGGGCTTAAAAGCCGCTGCCCCAGTCTCCGCATTCGAAGTTGTCGGGGAAAGGCCCTATAAAGGTAACGTTGGCCCGCAATGCCGCGAGGCTAGCAAGGTTGAATAAGCCCACCAATGGAAATCGGCAAATTCAGGAGGACGATGCAAGCGAGCGGGTGTAGCGCGTTTTGACCGGCAGAAGTGACATTCGTTCTTGTTGGCCGGCTGATATCTGCCGGCGGCTCGTCGGTATGAATTTAGGCGAGAGGACGGAGCATGGGTTGATCATAGCACGACTTAGGGAAGGTGTTCATGCGCATTGCCCCGAGGGACCCGACTCGGTTCGAAGCGTATTCGTTGGCTATGACATTGATGTTGAGCGACAGCGCAGGTAAACGGTATGTAGTCGAGGCAATTTACATATAACGGGTGTCCGTGCTTCGATGAGATGACTCTTGGCAGGGAGGTAGAAACGAATGTCGGCAGTTGGTAGGTAAGAATAACCGAATGGAAGAAAGGATCTCATACTTGCAAAAGGTGTCTTGAAGTAAACCAGTCTACCAGCGACCCCGGCGGTGGGCCGAGGTCATTTCTTCCATGGGCGCGACCCATCACGTGCGCTCGGGGTCTCTTAACCACCCTACAGTGCTCGACATTGCGTCATGTTTGCGATAAGTCAAGAGAACAAGGGGACCTCCTTTGTATCATCCACGTCCAAGAAACAGCTATCTCTAAGTTCTGGGATACATCCAGAGATGAATTGAAAAAGAGCAAAATGGTGGACAACACTGATTAACCCTGGTGAAAGGCAAAAGCAAACGCATACTAAAAGGAGGTAGAATGGGCTTCGATCAAGCGAAGGGGTGCAGAAAACAAACATTTCTTCGGATTTGCTACGTGTGACCGTAGGCGATATAGAAGCAAACGAAGAACAAGGACAGCGCTGACTTGGCTGTCTCAATTCAACACTGCTTTGTCGAAGACTAACCCAGAGCAGTGTAATGACTAAGTACAAACTTAACCCATACACCGTTCCTATTGTGCATAACACTCCCGGCAACGGGTGTACATACCTTCAGGGTCGTCGAGTTGCGGTAGTAGGCAGATACGCGCCCCCTGAGAGACCGAATGCTTTGATAGAGTTGCAACTCCAAGATGCCAGAGAGTAACACCTTCAAGGACATCTGAACTCCCAGACCCAGGGCGGGGACGCCAGCTCCTCCCTTACTTCACTAGTGTAAACTGCTTTGACACGGGCCTGGTTCGTTTGTTTGGGTTCCACCATGTGGCGCCAACGTTCTTCAAAGCCACGGTGTCCCTGACGATCTCGGACATTAACAACAAATCCCAGACAGTCAGGTCACCAGGAGAGGCAAGAGGCTTCAACTTTATTCATCACTCCACTTAAAGTAAGGTTTCCATCCTCCTCTCCCCCGCACAGAGCCTCCAGGAGTAATCGCCACTAAAGGGTTGCACCAGGGAGTTGGGCTAATACCACCAAGCGGCCACTGCGGTGTGGCACGGCGTGCCCATACATACTACACTTCTAATATTGAATAATGTATTGGGCAGTATGGAGAAATGACAACTGCCACTTCAACTCGTACAATGGGTGTATATAGACAAGAGTTACCCTCTTGCTGTTCCCCATCTGGACGCCTGGTGACGTGACGAGGCGCAAAAACGTATAGAAGGGAAGCTCAAGTCATAGCCTCTGGCGGCATGAAGGGTTGGTGGTCTCCCGAACGAGGATTCCACAATGGTTTGGTTCCTGGCTAGCTGCTCTATGCCAGCAGCTTACTTGTGGATTACGATGGCAATCCAACAGCCATACTTCGCAACACCAAAGCAACCTTCGCATATAGGGAAAGGTCCCACGGAACCGCTCATGCCATCAGCAAGAAAGGGACAAAGTTACAAGACTCCTTCGCCTCATCAGTGCCTGTGCAAGATGAGGACAAGGGGTTTGAACCTCTGGGTGTAGGGGACAAGGCTGATGCAGGTGGCTCTTGACTATCACCAATGGCACACGCAATAGGCGATGTTGCCAGTTCCGACAACCCAGGAAACTGAATGTCCATCAACAAATAAAGGAGAGTGTTCAGGTCAATCGCGACTAGCAACCTCAGTCTTCCACTTGGAGACGACGAAGTCCAATCACAGATATAGGAAGGAGATCAAAGGCCGGGGGGGATGGTTCAAAGAAACGACTCGGCCACTTGACAGTCAGACGGCGACCTCCAAGATAGGTTCCAGCCATTGGATTCCAGCAGCGCTTGCTGGGCAAGAAGTTCATCAGGCTAACAATAGCTTCGATGACGAAGCGCAACATCATTGGCCTCGAACATCATCAAGAGGCTGGACCTTTGCCCGATTGATGGCAAGCTCAAAGGCTCTCCTGGGCTGTAGCACAACGAACAGGTCCAAGAACTCCATGAGTAGATCAGAGCGAGTTCAGGGGGGCAATGACGGGGGTAGCCTCATAGGCCAGCACATCTGCTTTGACGCAGAGATGCACATGCTCGTGGACAGCCAGGTCCCAATCCACCTAGCAATAGCATGCCATACCAGATATTGAAGAGGCACCAAGGGAAAAACTCGGGGGCAAGAATTCCGTGTGTGAGAAGAGGGCACAAGGGAATAACACGCAAATAGCAAACTCGGTTGACTAGGCGCAAAAAGAATTGGGACACAACCAAAGAGGTAGGTCGAGGAAGCAAACGCAAAAAGAGAAGGTCTCAGTGGGGATCGAACCCACAATCTCCTGATTCGTAGTCAGACGCCTTGCCATTGGGCCATGAGACCATGTGATGTGCTGATGTGTAGGGAATCGCAAAGCATATACATAATGCTTGCACCACCCCCGTAATTCCTGAAAAGACTCGATTGCTCGACACCACATCGCATGCAATGTGATAACGCAGAGTGAGGTATCATCTCCGTCATCGGACAAATGGGTGACCGTAGATGGTGTCTTCAGACCTCAATCACGCGATCCAGGCATCGTCCAAGCAGGAGGTGGTGTAGTGCAAACGAAGCTCAGTCGTTCAGATGTTCCGTGCTGGCCACTAGCCCCGGGCACCAACTCCGATGCTGCAGTAGCTCTCATGCAAGGATAATGTGACGGAGGGTAATGTGTGTGCACCAACTTGTTCAATCGGGGGCGGCGTCGAACTAGCGTTGGGTCGGCATCGATGTGTGTAGGAATGCGACTGTCGGACAAGCCCATGTTGAATACGTCGAATAGGCATCTCCTAGAGTTGGGTCGCCATGTCGCAGAGTAACAGTGACGAACGAGAGGTTGTGGTGTCAGGCAACTAGTCACAAGGAGTGTGTCTTGGGTGGTATTGCTGTCGTGGCTCCGTAGCTCGGCCGTGTCTTGAAAGCATGGGTGACAATGGAATTAATGCATGGCGGGGTACCATTTTTGGTCTTGATTGGAGTTTGTCGAGCGTGATCGGATGGGAGCTTTCGGGTTGATTGTTTCGGCTACAGGTCTTCCTGTCAGGGTATTGATTAGCTTTTGCTACCACCATTAACAGGGGTCCTTCCATAAGACATAACCTTCGGAGGAGCATCAATAGCTCCAGAGTTTGCCAGCCCATCCAATGCCGTCCCATCCATGGTCGGGCAAAAGCCAGCTCGTTGCTCGAAAGGGGCCGAGAGACTGCAGTGGAAGTTGTAACGACAACCGTTGTGCAATATGGATGGTGGGTCGTTCGTTGAAGGCGTACAAGTCTGGGCTCAGGGAAGCTGAAACGATAGCAAAAGTCAGCCAGCCACTTTGTTTCGAGGGGGGGTGAAGTTCCGACTGATCATACATAGGCGGTGTCCAAGAAGTAGTGTCTCATGGGTGAACGCCTCTTTCGCTATCATGAAGTCATCAATAACTTCCGTCTGGAGAGGGGTAGACATGGTAAGTCGTCGGTACAAAGGGACTGTCGACATAGGGAGGGCCAATGTTTGAGATACAACGCTCCAGGCTTCGTTCAGCCACTAGGAGCTGAACGGCACAGCGATCCACGTGATATAGGAGCTGGACATTAACAGCCAGCGATACCCCGCCTACAGATTACATCATTGTCACCGCTCAACGCTTGCTCTAAGACAGAACTAATAATAAGTAAGACAGTCAATGGATGCTACTTCCGAACTGAGGACGTAGGCTGAGCCGCTGGGGCAAGCAGATAACACTTGGCCCACCACACCACATACAAAATTGTCCTATTCGTCCTGGGCTTCCGGAGTTGACCGGATTATTGAGGGCGATCTTATTGGTTCTCGCTCACATCCATGCAGCCAGGATGCCACGCTCTATCCCCCAGTGCAGTGAGAGTTGAGTAGCACTGTGTACTTTCCGGGGCTCTCGCTAGTCTTACCTGGAGAGAAGCTACGGGGAAAAGCAAAAAAGTACATGCAGATGCAATTTTGGTCCAGCAAAGAAGGGCCGTCTCCATTGTCGACCTCGTGGAGTAACCCCGAAATGCTCTGCCACCATCTTCTATTTCACATGCAGATTCAAAGTATCCCCAACATCAAATGCAACATGCAAGCAGAGCAATCCAGCGTGCTGCAAGGTGCTATTGTGACGAGCCCAGTATTAAATTGCTGCTTGTATGTACCACACAAGGATTGGAAGGTGTGCCCGAAAATATTGAGGCGCTTGCCACCGCTTTTCCTTTTTTCCCGTTTCCTCATTCGCTTAGGCTTTTTGCGGTGGCTTGTTATCTCGAGACTAATTGTTTCCTCTCTCCCAAATCCCTGACCTGTCTTCCTATTGTTCTCCTGTGCCGCTTATTGATACCTCATCTTGGGTCGTCGTTTGAAACAACAGCCGCACGCATCCCCCGTACACCATCTCAGCACCCCCGCTTTCCCTTCCTTGCTCTGCTCGATATTATTGTACTTTTGTGGTGTTGGTCGCTTTTCTCCCTCTTGGCTTCCCAAGTATCCACCAATAACAGATCTCGTTATAGGAAGCGGAGAGGAAACAACGGGGAAACGGCAGAGATCGCCCCCGGTGCTGACAGGCGACTGTTGGTCTTCCAGAACCACACGGGGTTGCATGCATTGATCAGTGAGGGCGACATTCAGGTTTCTGCGAGCGAGGCCATACACCCATGACGTTCGCTATCCTGACTCCATGTAGCGTGCATGCATGCAGCAGCGGTCGGTCAATATCTGTCTTGACCTCTTTCCCATGAAGCATGTACTGGTACTGCCACCGACAGCATCCGGTAGGCGGTGATGGTGGTTGCAGCCACCTGCACTCCAGCCCTCGATCGGACGCCATGGCCATGTAAGTGCAGCGCCATGCATACGCGATGCTGCATGTTGGGCCGTCCGGCATCCGATATCAATGGCAAAGTGCAAGTTTTGAGACATCCACGCCCGACCAGACTGACCAGTTGGGTACCTCTCGTTTCTTCTTTCCTTGAACATAAAGAAGGGTAGTAAAGCTGCTCGCTCCTCCGTGGCACCCTTCTCTCTATCTCGTCTTCATCATTCACAAAGCCTTCAAATTTCTACACCTTTCTACCTACAACTCTCGAAAGCCAAACCAAACCAAACCCTACTAAACAGTATGGTGAACAGGTGGGGCGATCGTGAAGTCGAGTACAACTGTCGCTCGCCCGTCTGGCTGTTCAAGGATGCGGAGAACAACGTCTTCCAGTCTCCCCTGAAGGACCTGACCAAGCATATGATTATTCGTTACAAGACCGGCCGCAAGGCTGGGCGTGCTCTTCTCAAGACCATCAGGAGGTCCACACGGGCCCCGAGACGCGTTTGGGCCGACGCCCACGGCATCGCCATCATCCGCAGCCCCTTCAACTCCCGCGGTGAGCGCCTCTGGGTCCTCGATGCCTGCGAGATTTACCTCGACGACTCTGAGACGGCCACCGTCTACTTGAGCGTCGTCAGTCTCGACACCTATCGGGTATTCCACACCCCGCTAAATACGATATGCTTCGTGCCCCAGCTCGAGATCGTCGACGATACTGGAGTGAAGCATTACATCACCCCTGTTGCCGAGAACTGGTTCGTCCAGTGGCCTGTGGGGCGGCCCGAGCTCGTGGAGCGCAAGGAGGGCCCCTTGCCGGATGATACCACCACCATCAGCAGCGCTGCCGCTCGCAAGCAGACCTTCCGGCACGAGTGGTCTGCCCCCCGTGGAGGGGGTGCGGGTCAGCTGGGTCTCTGGGAACGGGAATGGGAAGACACGATGGAGAAGGAAGCTGTTCAGTATCAGCAAGAGTTTGCTGAGACAGAGGATATGGGAGAGCCACTGACTGCCACCTTCGATCTTCCCATGCGCCCCGCGGCCGGAGGAGATAGCCCCGCGGCTTCGGATGTCTGATGTGTTTAATGCATCTGGACCAGCACCCATCGTCAGTCCTAGCTATCATGTTTGTGTTCCACTGGGAACACCATCATGGATGGCGGCTCAAGCGAGCGCGAGGCAAGACAATGATTCATTCTTTTCAAGGTTGTAGGCTACGTTGTCCTGGAACGTGGTGATGTGACAGATGACGTCTCTCACATTGCCCTGAATCGCATCCAGGTCGCGTGTCAGGGATAGGACATATCATTATTCATTTGGATCATCTGTACTTAAAACCCAAAAAAAAATCCCACTAACACAAACAAGAAAAAAAATCAGTATTTTTTATCACACCTCCTCCCATTAAATCTCCGGTGATCCATGCGAAAGATCCATTTCCAGAAAAAAAGGAGGATTCTTCACTCTCACGATGCTAATCCGTACTACACCTTGCCAGTTTCGACCAGCCCGCGCAACTCCAAACCAATGGTTTTTCTTTCAAATGTTGCAAATTTGCCTATCTTAAGTTCCCTTTGTGAGATTTTTATTCATACGTCCCCAAAGAACGTTTGTGATTTTTATAATTTTTTTTTTTTTACAATTGGTTTGGGGCCAAAAGGCCTGGAGGTGATGGGGCCTGTCCCTCATTCCTTGCGTCATCCCACTGTAGCCCAGTACGAAATTTGGGCGAAGTCTTTTTCACTACCCTAGACACTAGCCCGTCTCTCCAACTCCATGGCCTGTGCCTTCTCTAGCCCATTTTTACAAATACGTAGGCAGGGGAGAAGGTCGACGATGTTACACAAATGTGCACACGCAACAACTCAATGGATCATTGCGGGGACTGGGACTCGAGCTGAGACCCCGGCTCGTATCCCGCAAATTTTGGGCTGCATGGCCCAGCCGGAGGGACCACTTGCCGCAAAATTAAAAATCCTGGGCTAGTGGAATCCACCCGCCCGCGATGGAGTCTGGGCTGGCTGGGGAGGGCAACTTTTTTTTTTTTACTCCGTGATGCGTCTCAATATTCAGACAGTACGAGAACGAGACCCCGTTCTACGCCAGCCACTCGCAACGCCCACTGAAACATTGGGACATGGCAGGCCGCCATGAAGGGGCCAGAGCACAGAGGTCGAGTCCATTTTACCCCGCTTCGCTTCGCTTCGCCTCGGTCTGCTACAAGAGCGAACGTGGAAAATTCCAAAGCGGCCAGGCCTGCATGCTGCAAAACATGGCGCATCTCGTTGGGCGAGAGGTGCATAGTCCCCCCACTGGCTGGCACACACGAGCAAGCGACGCTTGTGATGCGTTTGGGTTGTAGTCGTGCGCGCGCGTTGCGCCCCTATAACAGAAGTAAATTATGCAATGGTAGGGAACCTTTTTCTCTTCGGTCTAGATTAGCCATCCGAGCACACCCTCTACTGTCGGGTTTGCTTCTTCAGCCTGAACCTGAGGGTCTCGCGAGCCTGTTTTCCCAATTTTATGTAACCTTGCGGGGTCCATTTAGGTATGCATGCTCTTCTGTCACCACGGGATTGGAGATTAGCGGCGGCCCGCTGCGGCCAGAAAGGCTATTTTCGCATACGTAGTCGCTGCATCGTGGTGTAATGATATTACTACCGTGGTGATAGTTGTGGATTACGATGCGCGTGATAGTCAATGATGCGTAGAAATATCCAATAGTATCTTCGGTGCAGGAAAAGGGGGCCCAAACGTGATGTGCGTCCATGTTTACGTCGGGCATATTTGGGGATGCAATTGTTACGTCGAGCTGCAGGGTGGCTGCCATCCACCAATGAATGGTTCTTAACACAATTGTGCGGTGCACAGTCGTGGCGCATCTCAGGCATCAGAACACTAAATCGGCCCGTCCGATTAGCAGCAAGAACATGTACCTGCCTCTCTAAATTCGGTTGGATGTACCTTTGTGCTCGATGAGATGACTTAGTGCCCGCTCTCTTATCTGGGAAAATATGGCACTTGGAACAATGTCGCAATTGCACTCGAGCCCGGGGTATTTCTGTTTGGGCAGCCTGCAGTCGGGTGGTGCCAATTTAGCGTTTACAGTTGCGTGCGACCACCAACCAATCGCTGGAAGTCTCACCACACCACCAAATATTTTATCAATGGCCATTCAAAAACCACCACGCGCTCATCACGAAGACACACACATGAATACATAGCAATACTGTTTTAAGAGGCCCAAACGCGATGCGCTTTCATGTTCATGTTGGGCGCATTTGTTGGGAGGTGATTGTTACGTTGAGGGCCTCGGCAGGGTGGGCGCTTCCCACCAATGAATGCTCGTTAACACATTTGTGTGGTGCACGATCGTGGCGCACTCCAAGTACCAGACCTACCTAATTTAGGTTAGCAAGTTGGGTGTGCGTCGCATGCTCAACTTACGGTTTTGACTCTACGGTGTAATGAAAATTCAGAGGCTGGCAAGGTTGGGTGTCGCAGGTTCCCGTACGTCAACTTGCAATGCTGTTGGCTTTTGCAAATTCGAGAATGTATCTCTACCTGTGAATTGAAAGTTTGGTGTCGCAGGTTCGCTTTTTTGGGTCTCGAGGGCCGCCAAACACGATCTGTCCAAATACGGAAATGGTCAGTGCCAAGGTGGGTCTGTCCAGCCAATGAGCACCCGTTATTCTTTTCAGCACATTCAAAAACCACGACACGCTCATCACGAAGAGGCACCCGCGAACATTTAGCAATACTGTTGTTTTATTCCTGTGTTTTACCTAACATTAAGTATCCTAGCTCTCTGTGATCCACCGCTTGCCCATGTTATCCCTACTATGGAAGACTGAAAAGTAATTATATGGGGGTGTTGCTGGATATTTTTGTCTGTTTTAGCCCGTTTTAAGTTTTTTTCTCCATTGCTTTCTTCATTTCCCTCGTGTAAAAAATAATGGTAGCCACATGATATGAAGCCACATGATAATGATAATGATAATTATAATGATGATGACAAAGCTCAGACCCTCCAGTAGTGCGGAATGCAATTGCACCCCCGCCGAGGTCCCGGGCACGTATCGTGGTGGTTGGGGATGTACTGCCTCGGGTCCCGGAGCCTCCTGAGGTGGTGCGCGACGTGCGCGATGCCCGTCTGCATGAAGCTCCTGCACGTCGAGCAGCCCGGCATGTACACGTCGTCCGGGTGGTCGCCGCACACCACCTGCACCCTGTTGACGCAGAAGGGGCACATGAGGATGCCGTTCTTGTGCCCGTGGCCGTCAATGGTGAAAGCGTTGGGCAGCTTGGGGTCGTAGCCGCGGAGCATGATGACCTGGCCCTCGGTGGTCCGGTAGGGGAGCTCGCAGCGGATGTGCGTCTTCATGTCGCGCTCGCCCGGCAGCGGCTTGTCCCTCTTGCAGGTGGGACATGCGCCCCCCTGGACGAGCAGTATGACGGCCGGGGCGTTTGGCTTGGGCATCCTGTTGCGCTCGAGCACTGCGGCCGCCGCTGTTTGGATTGCTCTTGGTCGATGCGGGACATGGATGATTTGTCCCTGCGGGACATGAATGGCTGGCGCAGACCCCAGCTCAGGGCCGCCGGGCAATGGGAGCTGCCCCGTTGGGATATTGAGAGGGTTCATAGAAGCCACAGTGCTCGGGCTCAGAGGCACGGCAGCACCCGCATCGTCAGACACCTCCTCGACCAGACGTGGGGTGGCACCCGGAGATGCTGCTTGTGGAATGCAGCATGGAGGAGAACCGTAAGGAGGAGATGTGTGAGGAGGAGAAGTGTGAGGAGGAGACGTGTGAGGAGAAGTGTGAGGAGGAGAAGGGCAAGGAGGAGGTCGAATACTGTCGACGTTAGAGAAGACGACGCCATTAGGTTCAAACAAGCCAGTTCTGACAGAGTAGACCCTAGTATCTCGGCTCGGGACGGGTACGCCAAAGGACGGCTGGTTGCCCCCATACGTGACCACTCCAAGACTACCGGGCTCCTTGTGGGCCTCGGACCCTTGTGCATGCTGTGTTGGCGTTGGTACAAGTAGCTGAGGCGTTGGAGAGAATGGTCCAAGTCCCGGAGGGAAGGTTTGGTTTTCTGGCAGTCCCATAGGTGACGGAGGCTCTAGCACAACCACTGACTCAAAGGCCATTGCAATAGGTGGTGGCTGCTGCATCATAGGGACAGCGGTCAGGTAGCTCGGGCAGATGAATCTAGTGCCGGTATTTGTGACCGGGATCTGCTGGTACAGGGACGAATGGGCGTTCTGAACGGCCGTCATTTGATCATTGTTGATTTCTTGGCTCGGCGCCGGGACCTCAGAGCCAGCAGATGGATCCTGATCAGCAGGCCACCACGCGTTGGCAGGCATCAGGCAATCCGGACCCTGCTGCAAGCTCACACCACCAGCATCCAAGGGTGCGTTGTTGGGCATTGGGCTCTCGAGGAGTCCCTGATGGAGTTGCGCGTGCTTCATAGAATTCTGATCTTCCATAGGGGAAGGTATAGAATGTTGCTTCTCCATAGGGGCAGGCATAGAAGGAGCAGGTATAGAATGTTGATTCTCAATAGGGGCAGACATGAAATTCTGACCTTCCATAGGAGCAGGCATAGAATGTTGATCTCCCATAGGAGCAGGCATGGAATTCTGATCTCCCATAGGGGAGGGCATGGAATGTTGATTCCCCATCGGGGCAGGAATAGAATGTTGATTTTCCACAGGGGCAGGGTTACTGAATGCCATGTTGTTCCCTGGGGCATTGGTCGTAGAGTTGGCTGGCAGCGGTGGGCTGTCCGGGAGTAATATCTGCAATCGATTTGGTCTACCCGGGTGTTCCATGATGAAGCGATGGCGGGTCGGAGGAGTGATATCTCCTCCAGGGGAAGGCGTAGAATGTTGATTCCCCATAGGGGCAGGAATAGAATTCTGATCTTTCAGAGGGGCAGGGTCACTGGACGCCATGCCGGTCTCTAGAATGATGGTGATGGGCTTGGGCGGCGGCGGTGGCTTGTCCGGCAGTGATATCTGCAGGTGGGTTGCCGATCCGCCTGGGTTTTCCATGATGAAGGGATGGCCGGCCGGGGAGATGGCATCTACCCTCTTCCCCTGGCACCTGGCGCTCTGGCGGAGATGTTTCAACATGCCGTGAGGGGTGAGTATTAGCCGGTCGCAGATGTGACACTCGACGGGGCCTTTGGCAAACGCGGCGTCGATGCGCCCGTTGATGATTCTGGAGAGCAGCTCAGCTGTTGATTTGGGAAAACCTTTTCCTCTTCTTCTCATCAGGGGCAAACAAGGCAAAGGGAGAAAGCGATAGAGGGGCTGAACTAGAGAGGAACCGAGGGACAGAGGAGCCAATTGTGGTTGCTAATGATATAACTCAAAGGTGACGGATCGTCTGAGGGGCTTATGAGGATGCTCTCAGCTCAGAGCTTGGAGGATACGGATGGGAAAGTCATCGTCATTGCACGGGCAGTGGGCCGGATTAAGAAGGTCGACGGGGCCCCCAGACGTCGAAGCTGTTGAACGCACGGAGGCAATTCTCTGCTTCCCTGGGCCAGGAAAAAGCAAGTTGGCGATGTGGCATCCACATGCAGGGAGGGAGTGTGTGTCGTCCAGGTGGGCAAATTGGGAGGCAATCATAGGTTGCCACCTGGGCCAGCGGTGGGCCAAGAGAACGGGCGTTGGTTGGTTCGAGGGACGTGATTCAGGCGCAATGCTAGAGCTGCAGATGCAAGTCAATGAGAAAGCGATCAAGGCGCGAGCGTATACGCTGGATTGAGAGATCTGAATACGATCATGATGGTCGTCTGCTCGGCGTCGGTGCACCCAGCACAACGGGACGGTGTACGTACATGCCTTAGGCCGCCCTGCATCCCTCCATCCTGACATGGGCTTGCCGTGGGAAGTGGTAAGCGAGCGGCAGGTATGCCGACCGGTAAAAATGTACCTGGGCAGGCTGGTAGATACCTCAGATTCTGCCGACCTTCCCACGGCCAGGGCAGTATTTCGCGGAGAGGCGGTGACCCCGTATCGACTCCTTCCGAGTTTCAAGCTCTATGCACTTGGGAAGCAATGTCTCAGGGTGTTTGGCCAGTCAGGATGGCCGCTTCACTGGCCTTATCGACCTGTCAACTTCCATAGACATGGGGCCGCCGCACATGCACGTCCACAAGCGGCGAGGTGTGGGGAGCTAGATACGCTATTATTCCAGGGAATGAGCTAACGGAATTCCTAAATGACGAGTTGAATAGTCATGTATTGGATTGGAATACGCAATCTGATACCTGAACTGATCCATGACTAAGTGTCTATCGACGCCTCACCTGGCCGATCCCGGGGTATTATTGGGGTCTCATCGTGCCGCTATGGAGCCATTGGGGCACGGTAAGGATCAACTCGAGGCTGCACAATGATCGAACAATACGCTGACATGAATTAAACTGCAGCCAGCCCCATACCGGGGGTTTGCAATCGACCCTTTGGCGAGCCAGTGGAGAAGCTGCCCAGCTGCAGTCAACTGTAAACGGCAGCCACTAAGTTTCGAGGCGCTTATCCCATCCCTCAGTCTTGCCCCGACGCTGCATTAGCCTGCGTTGCATGTGGGTGGTCCCCTGTCCGAGTCCTTTCAGCTTGCTCATCTCGAGTATCGGATTACGTCGATTGCTGGTCGTTGTGCAGTAGCGTCAGGATCTATTGCCCAGCCCTTTCCAGCACCTTGCCAATCCCATCTCCTCGCTGGAGCAGCCAAGATCAAGGCGCCTACACGTGCCCCAGAACAGCACCAGAACGATCGTCCGCTCCTCAATCATGGGGTATGTGTCACAAGCAAGTAGCTGCGCCTTAATTTTGCCCTACCTTCCAACGGCCATTGCTTGCATCGGCTTGTCGGGTGCAAGCCCGGATCATGCGCCGGATGGACGGCCTCATCGCGTACCCATCGCCAGCGAGGCATTCTTTGCATGGGACAAGATAGTATAGTCTCCCCGCTCTACACAAGCTTCCCATCATCGATCTCCCGGTCATCCACAAGTTAAACTATCCGACGGTATTCTTAGAACAGGTCAAAGCTACCCCCAGTCACACGAGCCACCCATGCGATATTGGCATTGCTTGCAAGGGTCAAGCCGTCCCGTCGAGCCCAAGAAGGGCTGGGAACTTGGGGGATACCACACAAAAGGGACCCAACAGATTACCAGAAGCCCAACATGAGCTCAGAAGGCTGCTTGGCTACTTCCACTCCATCAAGATCTGAAGGGCCTCGTGCCTCGAGGATCCACCAGGCCAAAGGCCGACCCTTACTATCCTTGTTGCTCTACCTCCAGTATTCTCCGCCTCCGCCATCTACCCTTTTCGCCTCTATTTCCGATCTAGGTAGGTGTCCGTACTCTCCGTGAATCGCATTCCTGCCATCGATCGATCCAATGCTACCTCATATCTCCGAAATATTTCGCCCAGCCATAGCAGCCATGCTAACTCAACAACAGCCGCAAAGCCCGCCTGTAAAGCTCGCCTCCCCAACCAGCAAGGTGACTCCCACCCTCCCACACGAAAAGCAACTGGCTTGATTGGGTAAATCTCAGCCTGAGTACACCGCTATTGTCCCCATCGATGATCCAATTCTCTCAGCTTGTCCTCGTCTAGCTGCCGAGCCCCATATGATACCGATATCCGAGCAGAGACACACCATCCCCATCAAGGATAAGGACTTTGTCAACCTGTCCTGCCTGTGTGTAACACACAAACGGCTCTCCAGTGTTTCTCGGCCTGTGTTAGCCTGTGGGTCGGTCGAGATATCCCCCAATTGAAGGCTTCAAGACACTCACGGCCGCTCCAGGTTTCACATCCCCTTCTCGACCACCGACCTCTCCTTTCCTGTCGACACTCCCCCTGATGCGGTCAGGCCGCCGGTACCCCTCCCCCATCACCAGCCGCTAGCGAGTCCCTCGAGGCCTGGAGCTCGCAAGACTGACCACAACGGTTTTTTCAGCATGCAATGTCTTGGCTGCTGCTTGAACAATGGTCATTGAGCAACGCCACTTTGTGTTGGCAAGCAAGGGTGCCCCAGGCCGCAGTTGTACTTCGCTGGCAGCATGATGTAACAGTGATGTCGAGAAGCAGGTCGAGGGGGATGTGGAAGTTGGCAGAGAGGCACAGCCCCTCGACGAGCTTTTCGCATGTCTCTCTCTCTCTTTTTTCCTCCCTTAGGTAGTAGGTATGGTCACGGGTCTGATGTAGTTGTTCCAACTAGGTAGGGTTCATGTTTCCCATTGATCCCCGAAACATTGTTGAAGCCCGACTTGGGCCCTGATAGGCTGATACATCTCACCGACTATGCGCGGGCAACTGGGCGTGGTATACAGAGAGAATAATCCATAGCAAGTTCCAAATTAAAAAGAGTTCTCCACAAAGACAATAGCAGACGTGCATGAGGCACAGTCTCAGAACCACGTCAGACCCTTTCCCCCTTTCTTGGTCTCTATCAGTGGAAAAAGTCCTACCACAGGGATGATAGGTCCTCGCGGTGTAGAGGGCTCTGAGCAAATCCCAACCAATCAACGATGTGTGATTATTTAAGAGAACGACCACAGTAACTGGATGATGTACACATAGTCAAACAAACACGCGCCCAGTTAGGGCTGGCTGGCATTGAGACAATTAGAGGGAAAGCCACGGATAGCAAGAGAAAATCATGTAGCGCAAAACTTTTTCAATTGAGGATAGGTTCCGGTTCTGATAATTGCTAGTAGCGTTCAAAACTGCACTTCGTGCTCAGGGTAGTTACCACAAACAGTTGCCATGATTCAACAGACCAAGACCAACAGGAAGATGATGTGGCAAACAATAAACGATGTTAGCCATTCCCAGCATTGCTCAACTTCAAAGCTCAACCTCGGGCTTAGTTTTCCTCCAAAAGGTTCGGCAGGCCTAGGGCCGCACTGTCACCACAAATAGTTGTCGTGATTCAATAGACCAGGACCAAAAGCAAATGTCATGTGGCAAACAGTAAACGATGTTAGCCGTTTCCAGTATTTCTCCATTTCCAAGCTCAACGACCTCGGGTTTCGTTTCCGAAATGGCATGAAGGGTCAAAAGGTTTGGCAGGCCTAGGAGTGAGGTCCTCTCGTCGGTTCCAGATATCAATAATAGGCTGTTTGCGTGGGGGACAGAAATAGCGCTGCTGCTAGGGGAACGTTTCTGATGTCCCAACTGTGATCTCTCTGGATTCCATGGGCAGTGGAGCGTTCGGGCTCAGAAGGTATTTGATTTTCCCTTTACCCTTCTCAGCTGATGGCTCTGAGTTTGGCTTGCCAACATCATCAGATGTTGTTTCTTCCCCACTGATTGTTTTGCCGTCAGTAATAGTCTTCTCAGAGTCTGAGGCATCGTCGTCGTCAGGAAGGGTAAGAATGATCTCAGGGATTTCGACTCGAGGGCCGCATCCGGCCTCATTGAAGACAGACAGACCAAGATGAAAGTCCTGTTCATGTAGCAGTGTAGGGTATGAGGAAAATGGTTTGGCGCCCTCGACTTCCCGGACGAGGAGACAGGAGACATTGAAATACTGATTGCTGGTGTACATCAAGCCCAACACAAAGTCATTGGTGGTGCCAGTGCGTAGCGTGGCAGTTTCAATTAGTTCCGGGTCGGTCTTCTTGCCCTTTAACTTGAGAACTTGGTGCATTGCGAGTTCTGACTTGTACTGGCGTCGCATGTACTCCCAGATGATGGCCTCCCGATTGGGAGCCTCGATAGAGGTTGGACTGTAAGGAATCTTGGCATCTCGACACCATTCAGTGAGAAAAGTATCAACACTGCCGGTCATGGCATCTCTGAGCAAGAGGTGATCTTTATCGGGATTCCACGTCCCAGTTTGCAGCTTCTTGCGGAGCTCGTGGGCGTAGCGCCTATCAAAGACCTTCATCTTGAAACTAGCGGGGACAAGTTGAGCCCCGGGTGATGGCTGAGAGCTCACGTCCAAGATAGTTGGACCCTGCTCTGTGTGTTTAACCGCATTGATGGTGACCACCAGAGGTGCTGCCTCGAGCCCAACCTCGAGGGTCAGCTTCTCGTCCTTTTTGTATCCGTTCATCGTGCGTTTTTAAACGACTGCAGTGTATCAGCGTTGGATTTTCCTCAGAGAGTTTGAGGCAACATACCTGAGGCTCGCACCCCAAGCCGAAAGAGAGAGGTGGTAAAAATACTGCGAGTCAATGGTAAGCGAGTGGGCGGTTTCGTGGGGTTCGGATTCAGGTTGACGTACGTCAGCTTCGGTGCAACTTAGGATGTGTCGGAGGATTAAGAAGCTGCAAGATGTTAATACTCCATCTCTCTCGTAAGGAAAAGTTGGGCAGACATGCCTTGGGACCACGCAGAAGGAGGAGAGGCGTTGATCATGAAACTATAAAGTATGAGCAAATGACCGAGTTCAAGGAGAGAAACTGAGCGGACGCACCCAAGTGCTGCATGTCAAGCACGAGATTTGCGAGTGACGTTCCTCTGTCCTGCAATTGCTTGACGGTTGGCAAATGTTCTTGCTGAAGTATCAGTCCAGATGGTGGTCTAGATGGTTGTCGGAGAAGGAAACAAAGAAGCCTCCTGCCGTGAATCATGCGGCTCAGAGGAGGGACATCTTGCATCAGGTGCGCACTTGCCAATTTTCATTTGCCGTTCACCACAGGCCTAGGTGCCTCGTGCCTGCCTCGACTAGAGCACCTCAAGTTGCTCAATGGGTTGACGAAAGCAGCTTTTGTCACTTGCATTCACACCAAAAGAGTTGAAGAGCACTTAGAAAACATTTGGCAAGGCGATTCAGAAATTCAGGCAGATCCAGCTGTCATCTACATCTACAGGCCAAAGCTTCGGGAAACCAATCTCCATGCGCTGCAATGCGAGGTACTAAAATGCATGCCTCCGAAACGCCCAGGCAAGAAGGTACTAAGTGCCTACCTACCAAGGCAACCAACGCAGATGTGGTGCTGATCTAGTGGGAATGCACCTACGTCATAAGGTGGCTCGCCTTCGCTAATCTGGCGAGAATGACGTTTGAGATGGCAGGCCGGCCGTCCTCAGTTGCAAAAGAGAAGCAGAGGCAGGCACCTCCCAGTGAGTCCCACAACATGGAACTCAACCCCAGGACAGCTCAGCGAAGTGGCAGGCAATTTGAAGGAATAATGCATGAGATCACATTATTTTGTACTGAATCCAAATCAAATATCAACTTGATCCAGCCTGATGGTTGTAGATGTCGGGACAAATTTGGCTCTGTTGATCTTCCGAAAGAGAGCATCGGAGATTGGTTCAAGCAATGCAAGGAACAGATTGCATGCATATTTTCTACGGTAGATAAAAAGGCATAATCTCAATTGCTACCTCGTATACAGTGTCTTTAGCTGTGATATAGCAGCCTGAGGGGCTTGGAAGTCGTCAAGATGCCTCTCGATTGAGCGTCCCTTGGTTGCTCACCTTCAAACATTCTCTCACGTGATACCCTTCGACCAGCATTTTCGCGTGATAACCCCCTATTATCTTATTTTTACTTTATATTCTTCGACCATCTTTCCCGGGATTCCTCGATGCAATTGCCTTTATTGTCACCTTGCTTAGAGCTTCAGATCTGGGATGAATGTCAAGCAGTTCATGCACGCATCAAGGCACACTTCTCGGTTGATGGAATCTATTAATGTGGCTGGTTTAAGATACAAACTAGAATTTGCGCCAGCCATTCCATTCCATTCCAAAACTTCAATGATCGCCGCAGTTTGATTAGGTCCCTGCCGGCGCCTGTCGGATCAGACCTGGCACTAGTATGCCTTCCGAGATCCATCAAAAACTCAACATTGAACTCCGTGAACAAGATCATTCCAGTTTCATTCCATCATAAAACGAAAACCATAGTTGCCTGCCCCAAATACTTCGATGGCTGCCACCTACATGTCTCTTGACATCCAGCAAACTATCGGTTCGTAAACTCTTTGGAGGCCCAAAGTGAAAAACATTACACCCACCAGTCATAGATTCAGTATTCCGCCTAGAAGCGAAGATTTCCCCCCTCAAAACCCAGAGACGTTTGGAGTTCACATGAAAAAGTTGTCCTCTTGGTCAGCCTGATTTGCCTCGTTCTGTTTTTGTTTGTTTTCAGTTTCTTTGCTCTCAGTCTCTCCCCGTGTCTCTTTGGTAAGACTTCCTGGGTTAGAAGTCGTAACCTCGATATGAGAAGTCGTCACCTCGATATTAGGACTCGTAACCTCGTTATGAGAAGTCGTAACCTCGAATTCAGAAGTCGTAACCTCGATATTAGAAGTCCTAACCTCGGTATCAGAAGTCGTAACCTCGATAACCTCGGAATCTTCCAACACCTCCCATCCATCACCCAAGGGCGTCTAGCTCGCAGGCAGGATGTACGCAATGTCCAATTTCAAAGGGAGGCTGACACTCATCCACAACTCAAGATGGTCCTTGTCTCCCAAATCGTAAAAGTTGAAGAGCAAACGAAGATGGTTCAGCTTCTCACACTGTTTGCCGGGGCCAATATTCTGCACAAACTCCTGCATGAGGTCTCCAACCATCAGAGTGCAGTTGCGGAGTTCGAGGTACTCGAGGGACGCTGGAAGGCATTCCGCCAGACTTGGGATATCATCCAGCTCGGGCAGTCCATTGGGAGGATTCACCACCTTGGACCAATTCTTCAGATTCCTCAGGCTTACGCCGGTGACTGATTCCATGTCCGCAACAAGTTTGGTGAGCGCCGTCATCTCGGCAAGCTGTCGGCCAAAAAAGGACTTTCCGGCCTTGATGTCGTCCATGTCCAAATCTTGGTGGCGAACGAAAGTGGCACAGAGGTATTTCAGAGTGCCTGCGTGAGGCAACATGGCTTGGATAAAATCTCTCGGACAAACCTCTGGGGTGATGTCGTCCTCGCCTGGGATACGCCCGTCCGACTCGAACGTGAATTCTTTAACAGCCCTGCACGCGTTCAGCAAGGCTTGCAGCATATCGTTGGAGATACATGAATGGGACAGGCTGATCTTCTCGACGGGCGAAGCTCTTGGCGGTAACCTTTCAAATCTCCGTGCCATCGAAGTACCTCCTATTATGCGGTTCTTCACGATAGACCGAAGTTCGGTACGCGCGAACATTGCATGCCAGACACTGTCGGGTCTAAAGTGCCATAGATCGCGAGGTGAATTTCCATTGTTCCAAAAGCCAACGTAGAATAGAGGGAGCAAAGGGGTGTGAAAGTCACGCGCGAAGGCCTGGGTTTCAGATATCTCGCGAGCTCGCTGTGCATCAGCGTCTCGGTCATTGCTGGCGGTATCGTAGGCTACCGTGCAAACTTCGGTGAGGGAAGCGGCCATAAACGCAAAATGGGCGTCGCTACAGCCTTTTCCAAGACTATCGATCCATTCAGCTGCCGAAACATATGGAATGACCAGCTTTAGCTTATGCACCAAGTAGTTCGCGTAAAATGTCAAGTCGGCCTCGCTGTGCTCGCCAAATGAAGTCGGAGTCAATTCCTCAACTCGCAATGCTTTCATATCAATGTGCTGAACATGCTGCGCAAGTTCGGGCTTTTTGATTAGCACGTAGCGTAGAAGTCGGGCGTTACGTCTTTGGTATCTTGCCACTTGAACCTCTGGTTCGGAGTCGTCATACTCGAGGCCAAGAGGGTTCTCGAATATCTTCACGGTGAGAGGAAGAGCGACATCGTACATATGCTTCGAGATGAGAAGAATGTTGAGGTTTTCAGGCGAGCCCCATGGTTTGATCAAGTGAGAGAGTATCCTGTGCAAGACTTCCATAGGAACCTTGTAGAGGAGTACTGAACCTGATCCTTGGGCTGTGAAGGGATCCATGGCACTCATCCAGCTCAGTAAAGGCTTGGTTATTAGCGGGGTAGGCAGCCGTGACGGAAAGCTACCCGCGCGGACTGGGCAGACAAGTAGTTCGCAGAGTAACAGAATAGACTGTGCTGCCTGGGCGATTGATTGCTGGCCGCTAGTATGCCAGGACGTCTTGGTCTCGGCCAGGAGCACAGAAATTCGATGGAGTCGAGGCGGTGGTGCGACGGTAAGAAGAGAGGGGAGGAAGAAGTGCAAATGTAGAGGAAGGCTCAGCCTTGCTGAGAACCTGCATCTTGATGCCCGAGGTCACCTGATCACCCGTCGGGAGCAGGCCGCTCCGTCAAGCAAAACCACGGCGCTTATTACCCAAGTCTCCGTTTCAAGAATTTCATACGAGTTCACCCCCATTACTACAATACGGAACCGTTGCAGCGGAGTGTCGTTGACAACGGCTACTTTTTTTGGCCTGGTGTAGGGCCAATATCAACTATCATATTATAGCGCCGGGAGATGTGCCAGAGTGCCCACCTTCAATGTTGCCGCCGTTGGCAGCCCGAAGCGCTTCCCCCTCCCACGCAATGGGCATGCCCATGTTGTCCGCCATGGCAGACAATAGCAGCGAGGGCTACATGCTGACAATGTCCAGTGCCCAGAGTACGCCGGAAGATTGGCACCGAAACCCTTGATGCTGTCCGAGTTGATCGGTGGTCGACTGCACGCACAACAGCAACCGTTGCGCGATTCCGGTACGACTACACCGTTTCAATTCAAAGACAGTCATGCACCCCATCATTATAATGCTATTGGCCTGTCGGGAGATTATATTGAATTAAGTACTACCCACGACGCAAACATATACGCCTGCCCTGTCTGATGTGCTGAGCGAAGTCCCGTACCAGGAGGGGGAAAAAACATTGATCGTCACGCCGCACCAGCGCCCTCCCATCTCGTTGCAATCGTGCCAAATGGAAAAAGACCATCTCATCAAAGAACCAAATCAAACATCCAACCATTCCATGCCAATGCCGAGCCATGAAGACCCCAAACCAGCCGACAACAGCGCAAACGACCAATCAAGGCGAGCCTGGCCGAGTCCGACATTCGTCACATTGCCTCATCAAGTAACCACCCCGAGAGATCAGACGACTAGGTCGCACCCAAGGCCGTACCCCTCGAGCCCCGAGAATGGCATACCCTTCGAGAGTAGCGCCAACCTGACCGTCGAAGCCCGGCCGAAGCCCGACCGAACCCAACCAGACATTACATCGTGTCTGTCATATAAACCAATTGAACACCCAAGCAACCGCACCTTCGGCGCAAACAAAAAGCTAGGTGCAGACACCCGTGCAAGACAAACGCAAGGCGACCTCGCTCTGTCGAGGAGCATCCAATCGAATTACACAAACGTTACTTCGTGATGTGGGTAAAACCAGAGCGAAAAGCCAACACGCGCCATAGCCATGCCCGACCCAGCCAAGCGCAGAAGCTGTCGCGATCGATCTACATCAAGGACGAGACCGACCGAAACAACAAAAAAGACATCACGCGCTGTCTTATGAAAGAACCAGATTATAGCTTATTCAAACAACCGTGCCAATTTCCACGTGCAGTGCATGCGAGCGACGGGAAAACACTTGGGGCGCAACGCCATTGAAGACTGTCGCAGAGAACCCAACTGCGAGCCGAACGTGCACGATCCGAGCCCAAGATCATATTTAAGCGTAGTAGCCGCTCTGAGGGGGTGCGCCCTGGGGAGGAGCGTACTGGCCGGTCGGAGGAGCGTAGTGGCCCTGGGGAGGGCCGTAAGGTTGGCTCACGCCGCTGTGCTGCGGCGCCTGGTTCGAGTACTCGGTGGACTGGCCGTAGGGGCGCATAGGCTCGGCGCCGGCGTTGGCGTCCTTCTTGCCCTTCTTGCCGCCCCGGCACTTCTTCAGGCAGACGCAGCAGATGATCAGCGTCACGGCGATGATCACCACCACCACGACCGCCACCACGATGCCGATGATGGCCGCGCGGCTGAGGCCCTTCTTGGTCGACGTCTTGTTCTTGCTGCTGCTCGCGCGTTCGAGGAGGGAGAGGCCGTCGTCGAGGGAGGGCAGGGCGAGCGCAAACGCCGCGGGCACGGCCCAGACGAGCAGGAGCACGTAAGAGAGGAGCTTGTTGCGTAGAGCGGTCATTTTGTCGCAGATTTCAGTTGTCGCAAGTGGACGATACGGGGGAGGATCTTGTCGATGTAATGCGGCGCAAGTAGGCAACGACTCGGTCTGTAGGTGGGGGAGGAGAGCAATGACGGTATTATATATGGCCAAGGAAGAAAACCTGCTTGTGTCTGTGAAATCATGACGCGTTATTTGTGCGCCAAGTGTGGCCGTACATGGGCTAATGGGCATGGATCTCTGGACCCCTGTTCTGGATGTTTTCTGCTGCGACCGCTCTAACGTTCGTACGGCGTAATCTCACAGCGCTGCAGCAGCTGTCTCTAGAACCCCTGCCGGCACCGCCATTCTGATCGGCAAGTCGGCTCGCCACAGACGAGACCAGCGATGAATTGGGCTTAGGTGGGCTGGCTGTGTTTGATCCTTGCCCGACTGAGCTCGCTTCTAGCGTGTTTGAGAGATGGACGAACCTATCAAATATGTCATTGGGGCGCAGCCGAGGAGCAGCTTTGTTCTCAATTGACGGGATGTGGTGGATGTTGGTCGCAAATTTCGGTGTGTCTTGTAAGCCAGAGACTTACCCTACACCGCCACTTGTCCCCCTTTGAACCGAATAAAGTAGTCTATTTGAGAAGCTATGAAGCTCAAAGGCCTTGCGTACGGAAGAGAGTTCGAGTATAAACTTATAACAACAATCGAAGATGCCGAACCCAACAAAGCATTGCGTACAAAGAGTAAATTCATATGTTACAATCCCGCCCTTACAGTCGTGCTGCACCCTGTTATCGCATACCCCCGCAGTCACTGAATGAAAGCCGGAGAAACGGCATCGCTAGCTGATGAAGAGGTTCAGCTCCCCACCAGGCCCTCCTTCAGGCCTCCGACCTTGAATCAAATGTCACCTGGATCTAAGACGGTAATGAATTGGCCCAATCTCAAGGACTTTCTTCTTCTTCTTCTCTGCTTGATGCGCCGAGGGCTCAGTCTGCGACCGCCGGCTGATTCACGGAGCAATATTAGTCATGCTGCTTACATAACTACACCTTCAGTGATTTGATCTAAACAGCCCCTAGCAACTTGCTCATCCGAGTCCGTTTGGCCGGATCAATGTTCCAAATTGATTTCGTGTACGGTTGCCATTGAAATAGCTCGACTTATCGGATCATCAAGCTTTTCGGGCATATGTATGCCACAAATGCATCTAGTGAATTGTCCACCTTTTACCTGATCCTGTAGCAAAATGTCAGCGTAATCCCCAGCGCTATTCGGGTTTAGTTCGGAAGTGGACGTGGAGAAGTGGACGTGGCTCGTTGCTGTGGCTTGGTGCATACGCCACAAGCTGGAGCTGCCCAAGTTTAAGGCAGATATGGGCTGATGCAAACGCAAGTACCTCTCGCAGTTGGACGCCTTTCCCCTCTTCAACAGGGCACAAAGAGCTCCGTCTGCTCCCATGAGTTTCTATTCTCGCCGGCCTCTGTGGATGCGCCACACCCCTTACGCCGTGGCCTCGAGACCAAGCACCTCCGTTGAAGAGTTCGGCCAGCGGTTACAGTCCAGCACCCGAATCCTCGCGCTCTGTGGCGCCGGCCTATCAGCCCCTTCCGGCCTCTCCACATATCGTGGCGCCGGTGGGCTATGGCGCAACCACTCACCGACCTCGCTGGCAACCCCTGAAGCCTTCGAGGACGACCCGGCGCTGGTGTGGCTCTTCTACGCCTGGCAGAAGCACATGGCGATCAAAGCCGTCCCCAACCCTGGCCACTACGCGCTCGCTGAGCTGGCCAAGCGGAAGGAGGGCTTCTTGTGCCTGACTCAGAATACTGATGGGCTGTCGCCTCGCGCAGGCCATCCGCTGGACCGATTGAGGATCATGCACGGTAGCATTTTGGACCTGAAGTGCTCTGACGACTGCGGCTACGTGGAGAAGGACAACACAGATGATCCGCCGTGCGCGGCCCTTGCCGACGCCGCGAAGGACTACCCGCCGGATCAGACGATGCCACTGCTCGATCCTCTGAAGCCGCTGCCCTCCATCCGCAAGGAAGACCTGCCACATTGCCCACAGTGCAAGACGGGACTGCTTCGGCCCGGGGTCGTCTGGTTTGGCGAGCCGGTTGATGAAGGTATGCTGGGGGGTATTGACGGCTGGGTCTCGGAGGGCAGTGTCGATCTGATGCTCGTCATCGGCACCGGGGCCACGGTGCAGCCAGCTGCGAACTATGTGCGTCAAGCCCAACGAGCTGGGGCCGCTGTCGCGGTTGTCAACCCTGACCCGGATGCTCAGGCAGGGCTAGGTAAGAAGGACTTCTTCTTTCGGGGTGATGCGGCTGAACTCTTGCCTGTATTGTTTGAGGGTGTAATCGGGAAGCTGGGTGGAGAAGAACAGGATCCAAGCATGGGATGATTTCTGTCGGTTGATCTATTCTCACTCATTTTTAGGACTGCTACGTAATGACCAATACAAAAAAGTATCCAAGGTTCGGGCTAGAGCGAGGTGATCACACGAAGCTGTATACTCATGCGTAAGAACAACTTCATCAAGAGTAGAGAGGCTACTTGGGCAACACTCCTTGCTAAGTAGGTATATCTTAATTACTACGGACATCTTGAAAGATGAGGTCCTTTCGTATTCTTGTCTTCAGTTGTCGGGTTCTAGCATCTTCCATTGCTGTTTAACTTTCAACTCAAACTCTCTCCCGAAGATAAGGTCTTAGATGGATTACTTTGCCTCAGCCATGTTCCGGTCGCAACTTTTCAGAATCTAGCCCATGAGATATGTATTCTATCCGCCGCCCATAAACCTCATCTGCACCTTGTCACGTCGCGACGAGTGGGTAGGTAGCGTCGTTGAGAAAGACCAGTCCAATGGAATGTAATTCTGCTGAAAGGGGGAGTTGACTCGCACGGTCTTGGGCAATTCGAACACTTTTGCCACTATCGCGGGGCTAAATGTTTAGGCAGTTTTCCGTCTCTCTTATTGATGAAATGGTTAAAAAGCACGCTTCTGTGTGCGCCTCCATCAGTGCTCTAGTCCGCTATATTATTTAACATACTCCTCTTGGTATCGATTATTTCGTAGTCTGGTCTCCGGCTCCCCCTTAGCATTCTTAGTAGCCTCTAGCAGAGCATGTATCAGCCCTTGCTGTTGTTTCAGGGACTCACGTAAACCAGAGTTAAAGCAAAGGGCCAAAGTATTGCTCCAGCTTGTTTCGCTTCGCAAGTCAAATACTGACCAGTGATCTTCCCTCTGAATGAGTCTCGGTTGTGGAATACTTTGTGCATGCAGCTAAGAAAATTGCGTGAACCTTTTAATTACCTTTTGGGGTACTACCCGGGGTTTTGGTTTTGGTTTTTGCCTCTCTATGCCGAGGTGGCTGTGCCTTGTGGTATCAAACTTTTTTAACGTCTCTGCTGAGGCGGCTATGTACCATATGATATAGAACTTTCATAAAACCCTTTCTCCTCTGAACTCACAGAGGCATACCGGGCTCACTTGGCAAAGTTACCTCTCTGTGCTGAGGTCAATGTCTGGAAACCGGGCGATACAAAACTTTTCCCACCCTTTTCTTTTTTTTCTCCCAACTCGCGCATAACACATGTCCACTAGGCTCACTTGAACAGATATAAATCCCCCCTTCCTCTCCCATTCAATGGGAAATTTCTCTCCAATACTCCTGGTATCATCCTAGAATCATCCTAGGACCATCCTCCTACCAAACCCTCTGACTTCCAACCACCAACACAAAGCACACTCCAGAACGATTAGCCATGGCTCTCATGTAAGCTCTTCCTCTGGGATCACTCCATACTTGTGGGATTAACTGTTAATGCCTGGCCAGACTCCCTAACCCGTCTGCCCTGGTCAGCGCCGCTTTGGCCGAAGCTACCACCTTGGCTACCGTAACCGCTCCAACCTTGAACCCCGAGCCGTCTCCCGCTGTCGAGATTCGCGCCAACCTCGGCAGCACTTACGACAAACCCGAACGACCCTTCGAGCCAGGGCATTTCCCCTTCGTAGAGGTCACGCCTTCCGACAGCCCGTCGACTTTGGGCAAGCGATCGGCCGAGCCATCTTCCGGCAAGAAATCTCAAGGCCAGGTGCATGAGCTGTGCCGCTTCCGAGTCAACAACGCCAAGGATGCCCGACGCGTGTGGGAAGAGACTGGCGCAGGGGAAGTTCTTGACGACTTCGTCGATTGGATGAATGGCAACAACGAGACCGGGTGGCTCTGGGAGTTCCAGGATACTTTTTTGGGCAATCCAAATTACCTGAACTGTGACAACTTCGGTGGAAACACCTGCAGGATCGACCACCAGATGTGCAGTACGTCGATACTCTTCTGTTCCCTCCCAGTCCAAAGCATCCTTTCCATAAATGCTAATCCAAGCCTCCTTCGATAGACAAGATGGCCGAGAAAGGCCTGGCTGGCCAATACTGGGTCTTGCGGGCTGTCGCCTCCATGAACTCTCTTCTGGGTCAGTTGAAGGATTCCTTGGAGATCAACAAAAAGAAATACTTCGACATGGACAAGCTGGTGGCATCCTTCGAGTCTGGTGACCATAAGTATCCTGCCAAATACCCTCTCGACACCCTCGCCCAGACATTTCGCATTTCCAACATGGCGGAAGCCCCAATTGACACCTTCTCACACGCGGCACAGGATGCTATTGGCGTCGTTGAGTCGCTCAACCTCGCCTACAAGCTCGATTTGGCCACAGAGGTTCTCGCGGGGGTGACCACCTCCCCGGCCTTCGTTTCTGAGATCGAAAATCGAGGCGAGAGCCGCGAGCTCGATCAGCTTCTCAAGGACCTGGGCCAGCGTTACTCGGGGACCATGGGAAGGCACCTGCAGAGACTGATGTGGGCTGCCCTGGGCCACGAAGAATGGACTGACCTGCCAGAGAACCTGCTGACGGATACCTCTGCCTACAAGACTGACATTGGCAAATTGTTTGCCGACGGAAAGTGGCTCCCCGAGGACGTCTCGCTTGGCCTGCAGCCCTTCATGGACCAGACCATGCTGCTTGCGGTAAGTTTCGGCCTTCCCACCTCTCCCATCTACGCAACGACCTCTGCAGTGCACTAACATCCACTTCAGAGCCAGAAATTCTTGCTCGACTTGATCCGTTCCAGCGGAGGCAATATGCTTGTCGATCCCCAGAACCTAAGGAGCTGGTGCGTGAAAGAAATAGAAAAAAAAGGGTACATCAGCCACAAGATCATGGATTTTGGGTTCGGCAAGGATGCCTGCGTCTTGTTCCAGCGGAAGAGGTATTACCCCCTCATTGTGGATCAGGAGCCTGTCCTCGTCAACGACTTCCACATGAACATCGAAAAAGTGTACCGTTATCTGTGGGACTGCGCCCAGGACTCCAACTACACGTTTCCGGATCCCATGGGGGTCATGCCGGTCGGGGAGATGAAGAGCAATGGGTCACTGCCCCGTTGCTACCTTGCCATGCAGGTTTTCATGGGTAACCGGGTTAGCTGGGTCGCGCCCAGGAGGGACAACTTGCAATACCTGGTGAACAACTATACTTCCAGGGCCCTCATCGAAAGAGAACGAATGTTCAGTAACGGTACGTGGCAAACGTATTTTGTTGATCTTATGTTTAATGATCTTCCTCGCTGGATTCATGGACGAGGCTGAGATCATGCTGTTTAGTTTTGGTTTATTTGTTGAGTTTTGATTTATTTGTTTGGTTTTGATTATTTGTTTGGTTTTGATTTATCTGCTTGGTTTTGATTCATCTGTCTAGTTTTGGTTTTTTGTGTTTTCCGTTTGCCTTTGTCTAGTTCAACAATAATATTGTCATTGCTGCGATTATTGCTATGGTTACTACTAGGCTGCTACTATTAGTACTATCTTCAGCATCGCCATCATCATCTATATTGGAATAATTATCATGGATCATCAGTTTTCAGTCCGATCCGCTCTCTGCCTCCACAGGTCGTCCTTTACAGCCAATGTCCGGGAGACGTCATATCTGGAAGCTCGAGAGATGCAGTTATCTGGACCTAGAGCTTTCTCGCATTCGCCCAACACATTTCTACCATGCCTTTCTACTTCTTTCAACAAATTTAGCTCTAAAGCACAATAGCCAGATACATCCCGCATAAGAATGAGGCGAAATGAGCCTTGCCCAAGTTTCTCCTATTATTCTACCCATGTTTACCTCAGCAACCCCTCCGCATTTTCTCACATTCCCTAGTTCCTTGATACGTTTGCCTTGTCTAAAAGCACCAGCCCAGAGACGATTTTGGGGAGATCCGCTCCAGAGCAAATCAGTCCCGCGCGTAGATCTGTCCTTCGTAACTGTTCTGCTTGCTCATACAACCTCATGTCGCAGAACAAACGCGTTAATGAATCAACACTACAGATGGCTCTCAGGTGGTCGACTCCCATGTTCGCATGTTGCAGTTGGCAGAGCTCGACCCGGCATGCCTTTGCTCTATCGAGGTCTCCTCTGGCTCTGTGCAACTAGGACAGGCGCCCCTTGAATCGCATTGGAAGTTTGTAGTTTCGACCGAAGCTGTCGATGGCTTTCTCTTGGACTGAAAGAAGTTTTTTCTTAGTCTCTTCGCGGTTCCCCCGATGTCGATATGCTTCGGCAGACCAGATTTGACTCTTGGCAACTTACAAATCACCAATGCCCAGAATCACTATTTAGCTCCTCAAGGTTTCCAAAGTGAGGGCTATTCCCGTCTAAAAACCCCCTTGCGCGTTATGTATTTCTACTCGCAAGAACTTGCTTTCTTAAGGAGGGTGACGGTCTAGATAGAGTTGGCAATGATTCAACATCCACGCGTTTACCTCTTCGGTAATCGAACATCTTTTATCCAAACTCTCAATGAGTGTTTGTTTGCAGAACCCGTTAGGCAGGCAGCTAAGACCTGTTGGATTTGCAGAACTCTTTCTATGACATCGTTGATACCAGGTCGACAGCGCAGTTCCACGACGAGGGAAGCCAAGGTTCCTCGAGCGCATTCATAACCAGCGTTACTATTGACCTCGCCCTGTGTTTTTAAATTGTCTATGCTGGAACAAAGCACTACCACAACAAGGCCAAGGCAGCTCTGATATTCTATAAACGCTTCATCGCTATTATCCCCAAGTTCTTCGTGTTGTGGATGGGTGTGGTTTTGATGCATCTTCCGATGCGTACATATCTTCACCCACTCACATTCAAGCGCGACAACACAGCTCACTTCGTCAGATACATATCGTCTCTCACTATAAGATATACAATTTGGTATATTTTTGCATCTTATGGAGATCTCAAAAGTGCTTCCCCTCCCTACAGCCCCTTTTTCCAAGAAGAGAAGGCATAAATTTGGAAATGGACAGCAAGTATAGAAAAAAATAGAACCAAAATAACCGGCGAGGCCAAAAGGATACGAGCAAACGCCAGCAATCTAGTCACCTAGCAAGCGAGCTTTGGATGGAGTCCATCCCACTGGACGAGGGAAGAATACCCATGCAAGTAGGTGACATTGAACTTGAGACAATCGAATATTAAGCTGCTTATTCTCAACTCTGCGACCGGTGCTACTACATAGTATTAATTGTTGAGTACTAAAAATATAGTTGAGAGATAATACGGCAAATTTTGTTGCTTGGTATTTCAGACTGCTGAACTTCTTGATTTATCTTGGAAAGTAGAACCACTCTTCTATTGGGTGTCTTATTCTCCTGCCACCCACTTGCCATTTAACGGGGGGTGTTTTATACTAATATAGTAATTAAATTTGAAAGCAACAGCTCGATTTTCTGAGTCGACGTTTACGGACATACATGATTAATTAAGTGCTGACCAATTTCCTGTGTCGCGGTGAGCTTCCTCGTCCCATTACCGGAGTGAAATCTCAGGGGCATCCCCACAACACTGGACGGGCAATTGATTCAAATCGCAGCCTTGCACTTTGCTTCACGGCTAAGCGGCCTCTTGAAGTAAAAAGCAGGCAAGTAAATTGCCCCGTTTCGGCATATTGAATGGCATATCGAAGCGAAGGAAGATCACAATCACGGATGGCCCCTATAAAAGCATACGGCTCGGTCCTGCCGCCTCGCAGGGCAGAGGCCGATCCGGCTGGGTCTCGGTCGGGCCTCGGCAGGCCACCACCGAGATGAGGTGCACGTCGGTGCTGACTTCAATTTGCTGGGGTTTTTACTGGTACACCGCTGTTACCCTAAACCTGGCATTCGTTTCTTGGCCGCAATCAGGAGCGCTCTCCTGACTGTCAAGAATTGATTGTATCGAGAGAAGTAGTATGGTTTAATAAAATTAAACATTTGAATCTTACAGCAGCGTCTAGTCAAACCTTTTTTGAGGGTGAAGGGGTCATTCGGGCAGTCGGTAACTGCGACATGATTTGCATCAATGCACATATTTATCAGCATCGTGGCTGCATAGGCCTTCGTTGGGTCTTTTCATTCACGTGTCTTCCCTTGACATAATTTTCCTATTTTCTATCCTTCAAAATAAAATACCATTTAACCTCTGGGCTCATGGATCCATTTGGCACGCACAATGCTGGTGTCAATTGAACCTTACATTTGGCTGGGCGCAGGCTTCATTGTGACCGAGCGACAAGATGAGGCGTGGTGTGCTAGTCAATCAGAGGTAGGCATGGTGTACGACACCTCGCCTCGAGTGCCCGTTGTGATATCTTCACACCAAGCAAATGTGTGCACGCTTGCTGAGCAGTAGGCCTCCAACTCCATAGTTTTTTGCCAGATGGTCAGTCAGGATCCTGTGTTACAGAACGCTTTCTCTTGACCCAGGAGCGTCTGACCGACTGGGATGGCGATGCCTGCACGACCCATGCCATGACGTACTCGGTGGGCGCCAGCCGCGCACACCTTCTATCAATAGCATCCTCAGCGGAGCGAAGCTCTTGGCAGGTTCGCCGGAATTAAGGTAATTTAGGCTTATTCCCAGCCTGCCATGTCTACATAGTACGAGGCGCTGACTGAGGAATGACCGTGAGGTGTGCTGGATAAAGTATGCAAAGGTTCCATGGCCATTTACATTAGGTTCACCAAGCCTCGGCCAACAAGCTCGTGTTGCACGGGGTGGGCGTCCCCGTCAACCTCGACCAACACATGTTTCTTAAAGGCGATAAAGTTTGTTCTTTATTTTCCTACATGCATACTAGTCCAGCAGGAGCAAAAAAACTCGTGCGCAGACCGCGCGCCGATCAGATCCATCGCCCCGTAATGGTGTGAGCTTTTAGCTGTAATTTTGCAGGAGGCGGCTCGCATGGGGCTCCCGGTTCAGTTGTTTTGGAACAGCCCTGAGATCCATGCCGCCCGTCGCCCTTTGCTTGGATAGAATCCTCTCACCGTCGCTTGCACGCGATGGAGCCGTTGAAGCGATGCGATGTTTCAAGAGGACGCTCGATTGAATGCCCGGATTCAGATGGAGGGGGCTAGTTGTAGCTGATGTCGTCGAATGTAGGTTCCCAGATGGCATCCAAAGTCCTTTTCCCACGTTGCCTCGCCACATAGCTGCGTGTCAGGCGAGAGGACCCGCGCGCGACGGCTGGGCATTGTAACCTCGTCTTGCCTCTCCGGGGCATCCGCAGCTGCTGGCAAATGCCAAAGGCACAGCACATATTTGCCGGGATCCAGTGCCAGGGATCCGGTGCCAGGCTGGGGAGCAGCTTGGTGTCGGTGCCGAGTGACCAGGCAGGGGATCTTGCATCTGCCATATTGGTGGATGGATCCTTCGCTCCTGGGCGTTCTGGCAAGCTTCCAGTGGATTGGCTTATTAGCGGTCCCTGAACTTCGGGGGTCCTGGCACAGACACTGGCAGGGCCCCTGGCCATGAGGATATTTTTATTTGCCGAGCAATAAGGCACTTTTAATTAATCTGCGATTGATTGCAGGCAATATCACTATTACAACGTCTCTTTCTCCGAGGAACTGGATAACAGTCATCAATTCACGCAATGCGCCATGCGCCGCAAGAGTGCATGACATGAAATGATGCATGATGAACTGCAGCTTAAACATCCGCTGCACCTGCCCGTAGCGAACGCATAATACACCAGCTGTGCTTTCTTCAAGTGCCAGCAAAAACCAAATCTGTTACCATGTTGATAACTGTCACGTGGCCTACATCTTGTAGGGTAGCTCTAGCCACGAGGAAACTTGAAATTTCCTGCCTCTTCAATCTATTCGTAAAAGGACACCGTTTACCTTGGCGACGCTGCCGAGAGAAACGTTCGACTGGGATGTAAGGGCACCATGGAATTGCAGTGGACCCTCCAGACACCAAGAACGTCAAGATGCTGATCCTCGCTGTTTCCAATGGACTTGGCGATACCAAATTCTGACCTGAGGTATGCGAGACGGAGCAACCCCCCTCCATGACTTGGTAATTGACTGCCCACTCGGGCCATCCCCACACATTGCAGTCCATATTCTTACATGGGCAAACGCTGACTGACGGGTCTCTCTATTAGGTACACTACGAGTCAGTTTTGGGCATTGCAGACTTTGTTGACCACGCAAGAGGACACGGATACCAGGGACCAGGTTCTCCTACCCTGACCTACTGGGAACTGGTCGATACCATAAGCGTGAGATAACCTCTGTCTTCCGTGTTTCATTGGCACACTCGTCGGATACTCCACGTCGCCCTCCTCTCTGAGGATCCGGGAGCCAGGTTCACCGTCATGGGATGTGGTGGACACGTCCCGAACGCTATTTTTGACACCGTCTGAAACTGGCAGCCCAAATGCTTGCTCAAGCTGGCGGTAGCGTCCGCTCATGGCAGGAGGACCTCATGAGATCTCTGCGTATAAAGGGGATGCGATCGCCCGACCAGTGTTCGGTTCTTTCTTCGATATCAACAACCCAAAAAATCCAAAACAGCATCACAAACCCAGAGCCGGTCTCTGTTTCTTTTCTTTTCTCTTTTTCCTTTCTTCGCTTCTTCAATTCATTGCTGGTCAATACCTTTTTACAATCTTCTTTTTACATAATTTTTAAAGCATTTTTTTTATTCTTAAATAATCTTTTCAAACAACATTCAAAATGGTTGCCTACAAGAACCTCGGACTTGCTGCCACCGTCGTCTTCGGCGTTGCCGAGACCGCCCTCGCGGCCCCCATGGCCCGTGACTACTCCGGCGCGGACGGCCTCGAGGTCCGCGCCAACGGCCGGAAGACCAACATCCTCAACAATGTCATCGGTGGTGTTCAGGCAGCTACTGGCGTTGCTGGTCTCCTCCATCCCGCCAGGCGTGACATTGAGGCCCGCGCCAACGGCCGGAAGACCAACATCTTAAACAACGTCATTGGTGGTGTCAACGCAGCTACTGGCGTTGCTGGCCTCCTGAACCCCGCCAAGCGAGACATTGAGGCCCGCGCCAACGGCAGGAAGACCAACATCCTCAACAACGTCATCGGTGGTGTCAACGCAGCTACTGGCGTTGCCGGCCTCCTCAACCCCGCCAAGCGTGACCTTGAGCGCCGTGCTAAGGGCGCGAAGAAGGCCACTACTCCTAAGCCCGCTGTTAAGAAGGCTGCTCCTCCACCCAAGCAGCCCGCCCCTAAGAAGCAGCCTGCCCCCAAGAAGCAGCCTGCCCCCAAGAAGCAGCCCGCCCCCAAGAAGGCCGCCCCTAAGAAGGAGAAGGTACCTGGCAGAAAGACCGCCGCTTTTGGGCAGCTCATTGAAGGAGTTCAGGCTGCTACCGATCTGGCCAGCGCTTTGAACCCCGGCGCCGCCGCTCCTATGATGGAGCGTGACATCCTGGAGTACCTTGACCTCCTCGAGGCCCGTGACTTTGACGACGAGTACATCGAGACCCGTGACATCTACGACGACCTCGACCTCCTCGAGGCCCGTGATATCTACGACGACCTCGACCTCCTCGAGGCCCGTGATATCTACGATGACCTCGACCTCCTCGAGGCCCGTGACTTTGACGACGAGTACCTTGAGACCCGCGACATCTTTGACGACCTCGACTTCCTCGAGGCTCGCGACATCGACGAGGACGACTACTACTACTACTAGATTGTCGAAGGGCTTGGTGTGGCGGAGGCTTATGATACCCATGGCATGATTGTTAGACCTTTCGAAGATGTGTTGGTTTGGTGATCTTCATGTAGCTATTTTGAATCCAAAGATTATTTATGAACACTCTGCTCCAGTATATCTCTTGATGTTGTATGCCAATCTTCGTAAGGGCTTGATCCCTACACACTTCGTTCTACGGACAAATCTCACCGTTTGAGTTATCCCGACCTTGGTTCTCCGTTACCTCGTATACTATATCTTCCCCTTGAACAGTCTGGAACAATCTACGAACTGACTAGTCATGGCTTATTAGTCTTCGTAATAGGAGATAAGTCCCACTGCCATGACAAAGTGTTTTCGAATTGGTCTCGGATGGGATAAAGGGCGGCCTGGGAGTTTGAGAACACTACAGACGTTTTCAACTGTGATGGGATAAACCAATCGAGATCCTAGAGATACCAATTCTAGGCAAGGGAGAAAGGAGGAATCTTCTTTCTCCTGTTTAATACCTGCGCGAGACTATATGAACAGATAGAACCAAATAAGCGCTTGAGACTGGTCACGCTAAGACATCCTCAAGTTCTGAAGACTATTTCGTAAAGACCAAACGCACCTCCAAAACGAACCTTCCATTAAGCCGTCCATTCTTCCATCTTGGGAGGAATATCGCCGGAGGATGGACTTTTGTTAGGTGCATCCAGTTGCCATCCTCCCTGGTACTGCTCCATACCTAAAGACTTCGACCCGCCGCATCAGTTACAAGGAATAGGAAAAGAAACTTGGTTCCTTGTGGAATAGATTCATTACATGCATCGAAACCGGCTTCTTCGATAAATTTTCTACTCGATAAGCGGTTGGATGCTAACGGAAACAGTCGAAGTGAAGGGCCTGATATATGGAATACCTTATTGATGTTTGACGCCTGCTAAGGATAAAAGGATATAGACGATTGGATTTCCAAAACCAATTCCAACTACCTAGCTAACCAGGACTATGGATAATATTTACAGGGCAATACATTTGTATAATCACCACTAGATAGCAGTAGTTAGACGCCCTCTGCCCTCACCAGGGATCCCCCGGCGTTAAATACACACACACATACACACATATCCAATGTGCGTCTACATACATTTGGCTATGCAAGCGTGTAATACCGAGGCTAAACTCAAGCAGACCGGGCGACAGGCCGCTCTCAGATAAGGGTTCAACTCTAGTTCGGGAATCCATCCGAGACCTCCCTATCGGAAGCTCCTAGCTGGATGCGGGGTATGGAAACAGACGGACGAGATAAAAGACCAGGGAGGAGCCGGGCACCTCACGGATCCTCCAGAAACCCAAGAAAACAGCAAAGTCAGCAGAAGAAATACAGTTTCCCAAATCGCACCCATGGCACGAATCACCGTTGTCGGAGCTGGGTAGGCTATCACGCACGCTTCATGCTTGTCAACGACGGATGGCTGACATGGGCTGACAAACAGCATCACCGGACTTGCGATAGCGGCACAGCTCTCTCGCAACCACGAGATCACCGTGGTCGCCAAGAATCTCCCGGGCGATGAGCCGACAACTGAATGGGCGAGCCCGTGGGCGGGCGCTAATTTCGTGGCAGGATACTGTTCTTCACCTTGCGACAGGAGAAGGCAGCGTGACACCTTTAGCGAGTTGTGGAGGCTGGCCAGCAGGTTTCCAGAGTCTAGCGTCAAGAAGATCACGATGGAGGAGTTCTTCAATGGAGAGCGGACGGGGGACGATCTGTGGTTCAGGGAGTTTGTGCCCGATGTATGCGATGCAGAAGACCTAAGAAAAGGGTGTGATTAGTGCTGATCTGGATAGTTTCGCTTCCTCGCAAACGACGAGCTTCCAGAAGGGACCGATGGGGGATACTCCTGTGTGTCTGGGCCTTTCAATATTCAATGCGCCAACTGACCGATACCAGATACAACAATCGTTCTAAACCCGGACATCTTCCTCCCTTGGATGAAGCGCAACCTTGAGAACTCGGGGGTCAAGTTCAAGAGGCTCGATCTCAGCTCGCTATCGGATGCGCGACATCTCGGGCACGACGTTCTTGTAAATGCGACGGGATTGGGGCCCAGGGATCTGGCGGATGTTCAGGACAAGGGCATGCTGTTCCTGAAAGGGCAGATCATGATAGTGAAGAGTGACTACAAGAAAACTATGATGCGCGACGATGGGGAGACCTACACATATGTGATCCCCCGATTGGACGGGACGGTGATCATGGGCGGCATTCGAGATCCGGACATCAGGTATGATGAAAGTTGGACCTGCTATCTAGCTGGACTGACAGCGTCAATGCAAACAGCAATACCAAGGTCGATCTGGAGGTTGACAAAGATGTGAGTCAAGCTGTCGGTCGCGGCGGCGGTGGGTGCTGACCTGTTGTAGATTGCGAGAAGGGTGAACAAAACCCTGCCGGAGCACTTCTCTGCCGACCCAGCAGACTACGGCATTGTCGGGCACAATGTGGGCATTCGGCCGTACAGGTCGACGGGAATGCGCATCGAGAAGGAGGTCAAGGAAGGCCAGAACATTGTGCATGCTTACGGTAGGGCGCTTGCGCGTATCGTGGGAAGAAGCTGGACTCGCTGACGAGGCTTAGGGATCACTGGAGGGGCGTACATCTTCGGGTTCGGGGTGGCGCGAGAGGCGGCCGGGCTTGTCGACGAGTTCCTGTTCCCAGCCGGAAAGGCACGTCTTTGAGGTGCTGCTTGGAGCGTATGGGAGGAGGGGATCGAGAGGCATTGAACCTCCAATGGCACTGGGGGCCTTTAATGGCACTACAATGTAAATATGCCGCATTCCGTGAATTACCTGCAATTGAAAAACACACTCCAGCGAATGCCGCAGTGATTCAAGTGCTGCTGTGGTTGCTGGTAGCGAGAGTCGGGAAGGTGCACTTCAGCCACTTGCCCGTTCTCACCTCAGGCAGCCATCAATGTGCAGTGCACTCAGTCACTTCTCTCTTCACCGTCAATGGATGCTGCCTCTTGCAAAAAGAAACACGCGCTCGCACTTTGAAAGCACCCCAGACTTGTGCGTTCTTTTTTTTTCCCCGGAAGAACCACAACCGCCGTCCTTGTGCCACCAACCGTGACACCCAGGCAATTTTGATCAGGCATCCAGCTTGCATGAATTTGTCGTCTTTACTTTTTTCTTCTCTCTTCTTGCATTTCACTTCTCTCCATCCAGGCAATTTGGCAGGCATATCGCATCACGCATTTCGTTCCACACACAGACAGACACCCGAGACACAATGAGTGAGGCGGTGACATTGGCGTTGACCCTCGATGACCTCCAGGCCGAGGCTGACAGGCGCAACAACCCGGTGCTCACCCCCTTGATGGAAGAGGACATCGCGTACATTGAAGCCTTGTACAACTCCGGTGCTAAGCTATGGACCAAGGAGATGTTCGTCTCGGTTGAGGCTGAGCTTTCCAAGCAACCCCTTCCCCAGTTTGTTGAGCTTCGAAGCAGTATGTCAACTCCCCTCCCACTCCCCACGTCACTCCCACCTCACCACCTTTCCATGCCCTTCTCCATCTAGATTGTTTGATACGATTATCCCTCTACCTTGTTTCATGTTTCGCTGCTGACACGGACCTATAGTGAATGGCAATGTCAGGCAGAAGCGGCTTCCGCGGGCACCATCCGTCTCTCCCCAACGCCCTGGAGGAGGCTCCATGGGCCGTCCGTGAGTACAGCTCCGTCAACTTGCAATAGAAACAACCGCTGAACTTGAGGTTTTTCATAGACTACCTTTCATTCGGTACTTCCTTTACCAGGACCTCAAAGCCATCGTCAGCGAGGAGGAGCATGACCACAACCTTGGCGAAGCAGTGGCAACCCTCAGTGACGAGATAAGACGCACACTGGCTACTCGCGCCATGTCCATTTCGCTCATCAGTTATGCTCCCACCTCTATTGACTACGACAGGATCAGAGGGGAATGGGATGCCGTCGTGAACCATCGTTGGCCTCTTAGCCACACCTGCGCAGAGATCACCAAAGTTCTGGCCGAACAAGCCGCAATCTCAAAGAACATTAACAAGATTGTCTGCTTTGGCCTCGGCAGCCTTGGATGGTCTATTGAGATAGAAGATGAGCGCTACGAGCCTGCTGATAGAGTTTACTCTGCGATCGTTCAGCATGCAGCGGCTCTCACAATTGCAAAAGTGATTGGCAAGCGGTTAGATGTTGGCGGCCTGACGGTATTCTGCCAGGACCCCATCTACAGTGCTGCTGACAAGCGTGTGCTTGCCGAGGCTGGAATCCAAGTCGTCGGTGGCCGCGGCGGCCTCGCATTTACCTATATTGACGAGAATACGGTCGTCATCAGCTGTCACCCCAACATTCCCGTGAAGCAAGTGGTTGCCGACCTGGGCAAGCCTGCTATCTTGATCTGCAACGAGGTCAAAGAGGAGGGCGAAGAGAAGTGGAGGGTGTTTGAAAGGCATGGTAACTTCGGCCTACTCTCGTAAGTCTTCTCCCTCCCCTCTCGTCCTAACCATTCTGGAACCGACTTCCCTCCATTTCGCCTGGAATGTCTTGGTTCAAAGGTTCAGTACCTATTCTACTGGCATTTTCAGCTACTAAATGTGGTGTTTGCAGACCCTACCCGACCGATCACGACTCCCCACGTACGCGAGAGATGGTCAAGGGGTATCATAGGTTCCCGTTTCCCCAAGATCGCCTGGGATTTGGCGACATACAAATCTACGTCCGCAAAGATCCGATCAACGAGGCATCCAGCAGCGTAGCCCATGAGACTGTCAAGGACGTCACTGGCGAGGCTGCCAAGGACCTTTCAGGTGAAAGCTCGAAGGGCATCGCCGGCGGTGTTCCCACAGACGCCAATTTCGAGGCTCCTGAGGAGGCCACCGACAAGCCCTCCAAGGGAATCACCATCAAGAATTCCAGGAGCATTACTGACGAGGGCTCCAAGGACTCTGCGCGTGAAACTCCCCAAGGAGTCGCTGACGAGGCTTTCGAGTACGCCACTGGCGATACTCCAAATAACGTCTACGGCGTGATTTTCAAGAACATCAACTGGAAGGCTTCTAAAAGCATCACTGACGAGACTGCCACGGACGCTGAAGCTGAGGCCCCCAAGGGCGTCACTGGCGATATTTCCAAGGACGTTATTGGCAAGGCTTGCAAGGACTCGTCTGGCTGATCTTCCAAGTCGGGACTGGTGAGACCCCAAGGATTGAGGTCGGCGACGCTTCCGAGGATGTGACTAAAGGATGTGATATGTGATGGTAAAGGGCTTGTAATGGAGTGATGACGATGGCTTTTACGTAGGCTAACAAAGGAAACGGGGAAAGCCAGCTGAAGCTGAAAGATGGAAAGGGAAGAGGGATGCAAATCGAAGATGGAAAGGTTCCGCCCGACGGCAAATTGTTTCATTTTGTTTTTGGTTGCATCAAAAGTGCCTTGCTTGCAGGCACAGATGACCAAATTCAACGGCTGGCGGACTGTCGTTCACCAGCTGGGTATTCTCTACTTCTTTTTTTTCTTTGGGCCGCTCCTTCGTCTATGCTTTGTTGAGGGAGCTTGGGATTTCAATGCAATCAAAAAGCCTCTCTATTCTATCTCTTGTTCTAGAGCCTGTAGTTAGGTAGGCCAAATTGACAGATGATATGGACATGGTCCTCTCATGGGCGGCGCACACACACCGGTGGTTTCTCGCCCAAGTCAAAATTTTCACACGTCTGTCAGATGTATTGCAACAGCAGGATCAGCGCCCCCCAGATTGGCCAATGAAACAGGGCATTCATTCCGGATGTATGGAGTAACGTACGTATTGACCGCACATCACAGAGACACGGCATGGGAAAAACATCCTCCCACAAGAGACGGTATGCGGCACACATCGCTCGGGACTAGGGCCCGGTTGATTTACGTTCGACGATGGGGCAGAGATGCAGAGAAGGGACGTTAGGACCTCAAACTATTGGAAGAAGGCGGGATATCGTGGGGAGAAGACGTTTTCTCCCCTTTCTTAGCGCACCCTTCTTTCCTTTCTTGGACGCGCGCTTCTGCCACCCTCCAAGAGGGGAATTGGGCTGAGACCGTTGCTGGCTCTGATGATGTAGCTGATGTCTCCTGGCAGGTTTTCAGCTTCTCGGATAACGGCCGAGATTTGGTGGTCTCTTTTGCGTGGAGACGATCCTGCGAGACAAAGAGGTGACCGCCTATCCCAGAGCATCCTTTCGAGACATGGCATGGTTGGAGCAAGCAAGCTTTTCCCGCTCTTGTCTCTTCCGCTGGTACACAGTTTCTCGTTCCGTCTCTACTATCTCTCTGGTGGCTGGCTAACCGTCTACTAGCTGCACGCACCTGCATCGTGTCCAGCGTTGAGCCCGCAACGCCCAGCTGCAACCATTGATTGCTCGGACCCCTCTTGCACCCTCCGGCGACATTGGCCCCTCCCCCCCTGGCGAACATCAATCTGGGACTAGGGTCACGGCAGTGATTGGCCCCCGAGAGCTCGATCCACCGAGCGCGGGCATCAATTACGAGCTCTCTTGATCGAGATTGCTACAGCGAAAGCAGCCGGCGGCAAGAGGCAAGGGAGGGGGGCGAAGATGGTGTGTAGCAACCTCAATGCGAATGAATGATTCCCAGCACGCCACAGGCTGCCGAAATCCGACCCGTGAGAGAGACCCTGGACGCGGGGTAGTGGGCAGGCAATTGAAGGCAAGCATCATCCATGGGACATGGGGATAGCAGGCAGGCAAGTATTCACCGCGTTGGGTCCGACCGGCATGTCTGAAGAAGAACAGGGCACAAACCCGATGTGTCATGATCTAACAATCTATCTACTTGTGCCCAGTTTCAATCCCAAGCCAATCACAATATCCAAGGTCCATCCCAAGCCATTCCCAAAAAAAAAAAAATGATAAAAAAAAACACACATTTCAGGCCGAGGCCAATGGAAAAGAAGGGAAAATCAAGTTCAGGTCAAAGCCAGCCCAATCCGGCTTCGACTCGAGAATCCCACGACAGCGGCCGCGGAAGAGCAGAAGCGACCACCCAGCATGGGTACAGGGGCACGCACCCCATCAAATCAAGGTCCCAAGCCCCTCATGGCGACCGCGGTGCAGTCGTCGAGCAGCTCTATCAGCTCGAAGACGAAGAGCTCCAGCTCGATGACGCTGACGCCCATGGGGCCGTCGACGTCGTTGCGCAGCAGCTTGAGAATGGAGGTGATGTTCTCGACCTCCTTGGTGATGAAGGGCACCATGTAGAAGAGGCGGGTGTGCTTCTCGTCGTCGCTGAGGGAGTCGTCGCGGCAGACGTCCTCGGACTTGTCGATCCACAGAGTCACGACCCGGCTCGGCTCGTAGTCGATGCCCTGGTGGTCAGCGCGCGTGCGGAGGGACTCGATCTCGGAGGCGGCGGCGCGGGTCAGGTCCACGACCTCCTTGGCCTTGGGCTTGACCTTGTAGTGGCTCGTGTCGTAGTACCTCTCCAGGAGCTGGCGGACGAGCTCGTTGTATTGGTCGTCGGGGCCGGTGCCGGGTACGAACATCATGATGGGCAGCGGTATGTATTTCTTCTGGTGTTCTGCGTGGGAGTGTATGGTAGAGGAGTAAGGCAGGGGGGAACAGCAGGGTTTGTTTCAATTCAATTTTGGCAAAATGCAGAGGGGATCAAGAGGCTCAACCACTCGTGGGAGAGATGATTCACAGGGTCGTCAAGACCATCCTCGTAGCCATGCCCATGGCCCTCCTCGTGGTATTTATCCTCTGCTGGCAAGTGAGTGCCCGTCACTTCTCCCTTTTCAGCGTGGGCCCTTGATTTTTCTCGCCCCCCCCCCCTTCACGCTGGCCCCCTCCCCTCCTAGCCGCCATTGAGGCCATACACGTCAGTGTCTCAAAGCACAGTCCGCAGCTAGTCGTGGCTATCGTTTCTCTTTGCCGTCTGGTCGTACCTCCTCGGCCACGGCAGGCAGGCATGGACTCTGGGCTCCTGTCTCTTCTCAGCTTTTGATATGTGGGCGAGAGGCGAACGTAGGGGACAGGGTTCATCGAGAAGCGGCATGGCATGAAATGGGTGCTGCTGCATGCTCGAGGGCGGTCTAAGTTGGGAGGGCAGGCCTCGACCCCAGTTCAGGTTGCACACACACACGGTCGGGACATGGCGGTGGGTTTGTTTTGTCTGGGCCCCGCGCGTCAATACCCATTGTTTAGGCTCATCGGTTTGGCATTGGGCCGGAGGGCTGCGATTGTTCTGGTCGGGGTGGGCCGGGTTGGTCCCTTCGTGTTGAGACGATGTCGCTGCCGCCGGGAGTGGTTGGGGAGAGGAGCGGTGGTGGCCGCCGACCGTGGCACTGCGTTCGGCTCGAGGGCAAGGTCCGGCTTTCCGCCAGTAAGATGCACTGAGCTCAAGCTGCTCGGGGATCCTGTGCGTAGTTAGCACACACTGTACATAGGAACATGGAAGCAGTGTAGGTGCTTGCTGTTGGCCCAAAGGTTTGCTCCAGGCAGGTGTCTCGAGTCTCACCAGTGCTCTGAGTCCTGCCCTGTCTCAGTTCGAGTCGCTGTATTTTAGTGGATTTTCAGGTCTGTTAGCACGGATCCATCCAAATTCGGTAACCAGTGTAGTCTGAGCGCGCTCATCTTAACTCGAGCAGGCCGTCGAGATGTCTGTCTTCACATCATTGATCCTACCTTAGGTGCAGAAGCTAGAGACTCGCCTTGCTATTGTCCTTGCCTAGCTGAACACTGCCGTGGGGCGCCGTAGAAGAATACCCTTGGGGTCCAACACATGGGGTTTCTGGGGTCGGCCTGGATACGCTTTGCACCCACTTGTCTGCCGGGTTGGAGGAGTCTCACGACGGACTAGGCAGCTCAGACTTGTTTCCATGAGGCGATTAATACGGAGAGAAGCAAGTGGGACTTTCTCAGAGTCACACAGGTCTCTGTTCAATGGCCCCAGCCTATTGATGATTGATGATAGTTCTGTCTACAGACAGTCCTAGTACCCGTGCTGCATGCCGATACCCTAGTTAATATTGACGCATTCACTCGCTGGCAAAGGGATCCTAGGTCTCAGTGGCAGGCAAAGCTACGTGACGATTGAAAATGTTTAGTACTGATTGCAGAGTGTCATTAACTTGTCGCGGCCTTGTTGAAGAACATAACACTTTCTTACCTGTGACAATCAGGATTGGAGTTTGCCAGCTGGAGTGGAAATCTTGGTGTAGGGTAGACTAGGCTCCTCGCATCTTTCTGCCTCAGGACGACAGATTTGGGGCGCATTATAGAAACGGAAGGAACGAAACACCCCGATCATTTCAGGAGAAATGGAACCATAATTACGTACTACGTTGATCATAAGAATGCACTAGCTACAGTGTTCTTTCATTGAAGGCAAGTGACTTGTTGTCTGTTGCAGCTTCAACCTTGAGAATCCACCTTGCCTCGGGTCGAATTACCTACGCGCGTTAGGCCCTTTCTACAGCATAGGTGTATTTGGAGATCGCCGCAAGTAGATACTGTAGCCTGGTATATTTTGCAGGTCAAAATATCTTGGATTATAAGGCTGCTAGTATAATGAGAGTATAATATTAGAGGGTTATCAGTATTTCAAATAAAAATGATACTCAGAAGAAGGATAGTAAAGATATACTAAATTATTTTGAAGGAGCAACCTTGATGATAGTGATCTTGGCTGTTAGTATTGGCTATAATACCCCCCCGATGCGCGTAGGTAATCAGCCAGCTATATGCATTTCTCGTCTCGTAGAGAGAAAACGAGTAAATGGTATGGAGAACTTCGCTTCATAACGAAGACGTATTGGAAATGTTCCTTTCATTGTATACTTGACGGTTCGAGTGGTGGGACCTACTTGGGGTAGTCTGGTCTTGGAGAGCTGTGAGGTCACTCGTCGACATGTTCTCCAGACTTGTGGCGATTGAAAATGTTTTGGCAAGTGCACATTGGTTTTCTCAAGAACTTTTGACATCAGCCATCACATGCAAGAAAACATTCCGGCACGGATGGATGACGCGGTGTTGAGGTGAGGAAAGAACATCTACTACTTGCTGCCTGTAGAGCCCTATGCCTTCCTTCGCTTAGGCGGAACAGACAATCCGAAGCGGCTCTTGTGCGTTGGTGACTCCTGTCGTTGCTGGAGAGCGAGGGAGTTGTGCTAGCGAGTGTTGGATACTGGCAAGAGCCACGGAGGATGAACGACTGTTACGTGCTCTAGGCGCCCTCCCACGTCTTGAAGCAACATCCAACTGAACCCTTCGTTCGCTCCCAAGACAATAACAACAATAATCCACGAGCTACAAATCACAAACGCATCCTTGCTTTCCTGCCTATCTTTGTGGCAGCAGTAATCCGAATCATCCGGATTCATACAACTCTCTCTTCAACACATCACCTTACAACCGCGAAGCACATCTACAGTTAAAGTAAGTTCAACATTCACTGAAAAGTGCTCACTTCTCTAACAAGATTGTAGTCTCCTCCCCACTCGAAGATAAAAACCAAGATGGCTTCTCCCGACGAAGGAATCCATCTTATGGTCTGCGTCTTGGACATGGAAACAGAAACCTGGCTCTCGGCAGAGGACATGTGTCGCATTGAGGCAGACATTATGGCATCACTCAACGCTAGAACCATGGGCCCCAACGCGCACGAGAGCAACTATCAAGACACTTACGAAAACTTCATGATCGCCTGGGACATGCATGACGCTTTCTTCTTCGAGGGCTTCTCCTGCGACGAGGGCTGGGAACTGCCCTGGACCTGGCGCAGCGTCCAAATGAGGTCTGCCGATGACGTCCGCGAATACTACCAGCAGCTTCAAATTCTCGCCCAGCAGTACGTTGAGTTCATCCGTGCCCAAAACGGCGTTGTTGACGCCCTACTGTTCGACGTTATTACCATGCGCAACATGATGCTTCCCTTTGATGAGGAGGAGGACGAGCGATACCGCCAGGACAAGCTCAAGCAGTTCTACGTTGGCAGGGATGATGACCTCCAAGCTGCCTTTTCCATGCAGATCAAGATCCTCTTTGTTCTCGAGGACAACCTCTGGATTCTTGAGGCCTGGATCCGCCGTTGCGCCGAATATCTCTCCTCTGTCTAGTCGGTCTCTACTCTGTTAGTCGGCCAATTTTTTGCAATGTGTATTAGTTAGCTAGAATGTAGATGTCGTCCTAATTCAACCATGTTTTGTCTCGAAATAACTTGATTCCGACTCTGATTACACGTGTCTACCTATATTAAAAATAATAATAAACATACAATATTATACCAAAATTTCTTTTCTATGCCGAATATCAGCACAATAATCACACATAGTTTGTTTACCTTAGACAGTCACCGATCGTTGGCCCCAAGAAGTACAAGTAGAGGTATCATAAAGAAGATTCCAGGGCATGTTATTCACGACCTTTGGCTGTATGGTAGCTGGAAGGATTATTAAACGACCACTCAGATCATAGGGACTGCGCTAGGTATTGGGACGTGATGATATGTATGTTTGGGATGAACCTGCACATCAGTTTATCCGTAGAATCCCAGGCCCGCCCTAATATACACTAACACGATCCGAAGATTTCGTACAATCGATGGCTGGAGACTTTATAAAGCACCTCCCATCAAGCAAGCTATCTTCATCCAAGCAAGCTATCTCCAAGCAAGTTATCTTCGTCCAAGCAAGCTACCTATCGTCAAGCAAGCAAAGCATTCCTCCTCAAGCAAAGCGCGATGGCTGGAGTAGCATCGGGAGCCATGATAGTGTACACTTTCTTGCCGATGTCCCGGAACAAAAGGAGGTTTGTCTGGAGGTCATCTGCATTAGTCTGGTTCCGCATGAATGACTAAGGGCTCGGTCGTCGGTATGTAGGGATGCTACCTGATGTTTACGTTACGTCCATGTAGGTACAATTCAGGCAAGGAGTCACGGGGACACTACAGAGGTGCCTTGCATGCTCAGCACCTAACTGTAGCCTGGGGAGCTAGCGGCAGGAGCCTCAGGCCATATGTCGATGCAAAACCCACCTGCCTTCGAGTGTCCAAGAGTACATACCTCCCTATTACACTACCTAGCCACTAGATGATGCACGGCCGCAACAAAAGCAACGAAAATCCTCAACCGATACTCGCAGCATCTTCTTGCTAGTAGGTGAGCGGTCCTAGTCAGCCCCAAGAAGCCACAGGCTGACCTCCCCACGGCTGGGTGCACGATACGTTCTGCTTCCAAAGTAGACCATTTGGAGCGGTGCCGACGTCTCGAACCCGGACCGAGGATTAGCGGCCGATAAATATACGAACGCTTACCTTTCCAATCTTCCAATTGCTTCCAGTGTTGACCTTCTCCGGGGCGGAGGTCAGTCAACCCGACCTGGGACGACGCAGATGCCACTCAGATGCCACATAGATGATGAGGATGGTGACGTACGGGACCAATGACGTGCCTTTCAAAGGCACTATCTCCGGTCAGTATTTGGGTGATGCTCGTGGGAGTTTCGATCTTGGAACTTGAAAATGCCTGACGACTTCGAATAGGAGAGTACGTCCGGTAGACACCAAGGTACGAGGAGGAGGAACGACACCACGGCCGGCTTTGGGCGGCCCAATACGACCCTTCGAAGTGCGCAAGGGAGTTTCCCGTTCCAGTTCTTCGATATACTGAGAGAGAATCGTCGAAGTAACAAAGAGAGAACATGTTTATGGAACTTACTATTGGGGTCCAGTTGTTGATCGAAACATCGTTCCGAACAATCCGATCGAGGCTTTTCGAGATGGCCGGTTCACCGGAGTTCCAATTGGGATCACAAACCCCTTTCACGAAGGTTCACTTTTCTTGAGATAGTCTTTCAGGATGGGGAACGACGCTGGTGAGGATTTGAAGGGACCTCGGCATGGCCCCGAGAGCTAATACAACCCGGCTTTCTTGGAACTTTACCTCCAACCGTTATGCACTTTATGCAATGCGACGCACTCGGATTTGTTGGTTGCGTACCCGGTTCAGAGGTAACATAAGAGCTGTTGACTATCCCCTTTCCAATGAATCCTTGAGGCGTTAGTCTCTCTTCGGGAATGCTCTATTCAGTCATCCTAACGGATGATGTTGGTAGAAGTTCCCTGAGGCCATGGAGGGGGCTCATTGGAGCAGTCACATTAGTGGTAAGTCATGGATGAGAGAGGACCGTTCAACGAATAGACTGGATTGGTTGGCTAACTTGGCTTGTTGATAGACAGATGAGACCGAGTCTCCAAGAGCAGGCCCACAGCTTATCCCAACCGGAAGAGTTGAACTGGTTGTGATAGATTCCAGGCAATGAATAAGTTCTCCACGTCGATTTCAGATCTTCTAGAAACGAACCACACCCTGGTAACCTCTAGAGACTGTCAATTCTTTCAAGCCTACCGTGGCAATCATTTAAGAACCTGGCCCCGGTGGTGATGAAGAAGTCTATGAATCCTGAAAACAGGGATTGCAGGACCTTGATTCAGGCAAGTCTTGGGCGAGAGATGCAACCTTGAGGGTGACAGCCTGGGTAATGTTGACTGATCACTTACTGTTGGTCCAGGCACTGCAGAGCCTTAAGCAAACCCACTTCAAGTGTCACTTGCCAAATACCGAGCCGATCTCCTTACAAATCCAATACAAGGCTCAGAAAGGAGGGCTGTTAGGCTAGATCTGCCTCTCTACAGCAGTTGCGGAAGCGTGGACAACGGTTGTCGGTTGGTCGCCTGTGAGAGGTTCGTCTTCCTCCCACCCCTCACGTTCATCCTTGGGCAATCTAACAAATCCCAGGTCTAGGATCAAGGAAGCAACCGCGAGCGCGACGCCAAAGTATGCGGCAGCACGAAAGCCAAAGACGATTTGGCCGGGCGACTCTCCGTCTGCCAGCTCAGTCTCGATCGTGCCAGCAAAGCCGAGTCCCAAACTGTTGCCGTACAGGTTCAAGGTTCCGATCAAGCTGCCCGCGACCCCCTGGTGTCGACGACCGACACTGTTGCTAGCAATAAGCTGGGCGGCGACGTATACGAAGTCGGGGCAAAAGCTCGACAGCAGAATGGCAGGGAAGAGCTGCGCCCAGTAGATTTGTTGCACGGGCATTGTAGCGATGAGGAGATTTGCGGCGAGGATCGTGACGATGCCAATGGCCATGATCCACTGGGCTGCGACTCGAGGAATCAGCCAGGCCGCGATTCCGACGGCAGCCACGGCGCCGAAGCCAAAGGGGATGAAATGGATGCCGCAATCGAGCACGGAGCTGTGGCGAAGCATTTGCTGCCAGGCGACCGAGTACCACACGAAGACTCCGACGCTCATGTAGCTCAGCAAGACGACAAATACGAGGGCCGTGAAGGTGCTTGCACGGAAGAGCTTCAGGGGCATGACAGGCTCCTTGGCGAATCGATCTTCCCAGACGAGGAAGCCGGCGAAGAGAAGGACGGAGACGATGAGGAGCGCGATCTCGTAAGGCGTGTACCATCCGACCGCAGGTGCCTGGCTATTGTCCAGTGGTGAGCATATGACCCAGTAGATTGGAGTTGAGTTGAGGGGAGAATCTACTTCCAAACGACGTTGAACAGAACAAGACTGCTAACTCCAAGCGCAACACCAATGTAGTCAATCGTTCCGGATCTATCGACGGGATGCTCAGGGGGGACCAGGTACGCAAGCCATGCCGTGAGTATGGCAGAAATGATTGCACTGAACAAACGAATGGTTAGAAGAGGAACACGAAGAAGAAGCGCTAAGGAATCTTGACGACCCGACACTTACGTCGATACGAAGAGCCAGACCCACGGGGCGAGATCGATGAAGACGCCGACCAGAACACCTCCCAAGACACCTCCAATAGGCGGAGCGGCGGCGAAGAAGCCGAGTGCTATATTGCGCGTGCGGCCAGGCGGGACCATGGTGGTGACGATGGCGACGGCGTTTGGCATGAAGATGCCGCCTCCAATGCCGGTGAGTGCGCGGATGGCGACAAAGGATTCGTAGGTCTTCGCGAAGCCATTGACTAACGAGAACAGGGTGAACACGGCCGAGCCGACGAGGACAAGTCGCTGGTGGCCGTAGATTTCGCCGAGACGGCCGGAGATGAAGACGAATGCGCCTTGTGTAAGACTACATGTAGGCGAGACCGAGCAAGTTAGCAATTTGCTCCAGGTGTACCTCGGGAACGGGAGGAAAATTAACTAATCAAGGAGACGTACGAGTAGGAGGCCCCCATCCAGTTTGCCCGGCCGGGCTTTACCTCGTGCCCAAGAGCAGCGCTGAATGCCAATCCACCAACGACGGTGGTGATGGCGGACATGAACTAGTACCACAGCAAGTCAGCGGCCTTCATTCGAACCTCCCGGAGTACCTCCTCCTAACCTGGACGATATTGAGTATGACGACGAGCAAGATGATGAGGAATCTCGACGTCTGGGAGATCGGGGACGGTTCGGCGTCGAAGACACGGTCGGTGGGCACGACTAGCGACGGGATCTCTGTCGGCGGTGTGGGATCGGGCGATTGCTGGGAGCCGGCGGCGGCATCGTGAGAAAGCCGGTGGAGAGGGGCCGACGAGACGGCCGGTTTGCTCTTGATCTCGGAGAGCTCAATGGCCGGAGCCACGACGGTGGTAGCGCAGGTCGACATTGTTTGCGAGCCTTAATTGAGCTGTCTTGGGTCATCCAGAGGACAGCTGCGAGTTTCGTGCGACGAAAACATCGGGGAGGGAGGGGGAAATGGTGGGGGTTTCATCTTCATTAATAATTCCCCTACGCGCGCGCGGGCAGCCCATCGGAGGATAAATCGGCGAGCTCGAGCTCGGAATGCACTCCGTGATGCTGCTGGGATTGCGCTTGCGGAGTATCCGTATTTGGGAAGAATGCGCGATGCTCTGGCCTGCTCCTTGGCAGTTATTTGGATCGACTTGCTGGTCATGTGAGAGTGCGACAGGTCTGTAGGTCACAAGATCAGATTTCGGACGAAGCATCGATCTTGGCAATCGGGATGTTTTTACTTTTTTCGATAGAGTTGGGGATGACCCTGAAATCTAAATTTAAGCGGTGTGGCTGCCTTTCACTGTGCCTCCAATCTCTGCACGCCGCCGTAAATCAAGTCCGCGCCCTGCCGTCATCTGCGCAAAGCCTCACGACCTGCGCATGGCTATCAAGTTAAACAAACTTCGAGGCAAAAACGCCTAGCTGCGAGGATTAAGAGCCAACACGGACAAACTTAGACTTTGGCGCTACGAGATGACTGTGGTGGGGTTGCACCGGGTTGCGGGCTGACATGGGACGTGGAAAGGGGCCAGCAAGGAAAAGTCAATTCATCAATCTGTTTGCTAAACCAATCATTCGCCATACAATATCCAAGTCATGTCATCTCCATTCGCCAAACAATTTGTCCAAAGCGTTATCCAA